ATCTCCAGCACCGGCATCAGCGGTGCCCAGGAGCAGGTGACCGCCATCACCAAGTGGGCCCAGTGGGATCTCGTCACCCTCGTTGTCGTTGGTAACGAGGCCATCCAGAACGGTTACACCGATGCTTCCAGCCTCGCTGGCTTCATCTCCTCTTGCAAGTCCGCCTTCCAGGCCTCTGGCTACTCGGGCCAGGTCACCACCACCGAGCCCATCAACGTCTGGCAGCAGTCTGGCAGCGCCCTGTGCGGTGCCGTTGACGTCCTTGGTGCTAACCTGCACCCCTTCTTCAACGCCGATGTTACCCCCGACCAGGCCGGTACCTTCGTCCGTGCCCAGATCAAGGACCTCGAGGCCGTCTGCAACAAGGACGTGATCAACCTTGAGACCGGCTGGCCCAGCCAGGGTAACGCCAACGGCAAGGCCGTCCCCGGTACCGCCCAGCAGGCCGCCGCTATCAAGGCTCTCGTTGAGGAGGTCGGCTCCCAGTCCGTCTTCTTCTCCTACTCCAACGACCTCTGGAAGGATGCCGGCGAGTTCGACGTCGAGCGCTACTGGGGTTGCATCAGCCAGTTCAACTAAATGATCTCCCGTATGTCTATAGTTAAGGATATCTAAGGCTTGGAGTTTTTTTTCGTTCTGCCTGTCTCGGAAATACCGACAGCTTTTATTAACTTTTTTTTTCTTCATATACTTGAATTGAGTAGATATAACCTTCTATTTCATGTGTCGATCTCCTGGAGCATTCTGTTTTCTTTGTTTGTACATGTGCTAATCTATGATACGATCTGTAATTTCTCCTGTGTAGCCATCCTTCTCTTTAGTAGCATTCTCTAGTAAAATCCCAAGCAGACACCCGACTACTTAAACTGTTAAAAAGTGACAACCGTAGGAACATAATCATCAGAGTAACAACTAAACCTCCAGTCTGTCATCAAACATCTCTTAAACAGAACCCACTCAGTCCTACGCAGCTCGAAACAAAGTACTCCCCGTTAATACCCCGAGTAAAAGTTTCCCACAACCGCGAACGCATGTTGATTGATGGGGTTTCCCATCGGGGGCAACCCCATCACAAGCATAAGCTTATCAACGATAGTATAGTAATAAAGCCCCATATAGGAGCAATTTACTCGAGTTCCCATTCCCAAGCCGCGCGCCTCGTCTGGCAAAAGGGTTCATTCCCTATATCGAAGCAACCACTTGTCGATGTTGGAGTCATGCAAGAAGCCTAGCAAGAACACCGCGTGGCATTGGCAGGCGAACAGTGGAACAAGTCTTAAGCCATCTCTCTCAGAGACTGAGACAGAGGGTGCGATTCGCGGGCACACTAACGATCTCTCTCCCAATCTCCCCTGCTGGTCGCTGAGTGTTGGGTTATTCAACAGTCGATGCATGCAGCGGGGCATTGCAGGTAAGTATGTGGGTTCAGAGCAGTAGGCTGACACTGCTAGGCTCCAACAGGTTAAATAGAATCTTGATTGATTGGCTCATTGAGCGGGTTGGCACTTGGTGAGGTGATAGCCTCAGGAGAAAACTATCACTAAGCATCACCCAGATTTCCCATGTGGTGGTATAGTTTCGCATGGAGAGCTAGCTAGCTCTATATCAAGAACCCTAGAGCTGAGGTCTCAGGATGCTCTTCTCGTCCGTGGATATAGGGGAATGGGAGAAATGCCCGAAACCCAAGTTTGTATTGGAGTATTGCACAAGGGCCGTCCCTCCCTCCTTCCCATGGCGCCCTGTTAATACTCATATGTCCATAGTATCCTCAATTCACCAATCTTTTTCAACTTCATCGAAGTCGGAATGAGTGCGACTCTTTTAATCATTTCATACGGCCGTCTCCATTCGAGTCCTGCACCGTAGACTATGCGTCATGTATTTCGATGTCATCCTCCGTTGGGATAGCATTAGGGTCTTAGCCCGTACTGTGAGCAATATTCGTTCACATCTCTGTCTGAATATTTTAGACATTGTAACTGATATCCTCGTCGATAAAGTCGTCCGACATGGGAATAGAGCCCTCGTCATTGGAGGATCTATTAGACAGGGGATCTGTGTGGCTGTAGGATAATTGACACGAGAGCTGTCGTATCCGGTATCCCTTCGAGCTGTTACTTATTCCCTTAGACTTCTGACTGAGGTTATCTAGGGCTCAGAGCCTAACTCCTCGACTCGCAAGCCGGCGGTAGATAACTGCGGAGAGCTCACAAAGATATCTTCAATATCGGCAGCGGCTATGCTACTTGCAAATTCCTCCATCTGATCCTTCGGGAGCAGCGTCTAACAAACGGCGCAGCAACGCATGAGACCAGGAGAGCGCCCCGCGCGTTCTGCTTAGGGCCGGCCCATGTTCAAGGCCCACATCTCGTACCCTGAGCAGAATTTGTAAGGGAGACGTTGGATATCAGTGTGATTGGCTCGTATATGGTTGTAGATTATCCCGGAGGAAGCATCTGGCCCTATTTGATAGCCACCCCATCATGTAAGGATAGACAGCAGTGGTTGCGAAGTTCGTGATGTCCCTGAGTGCGAGGTATTTTCTGTCGCCAATAACTCCAGTCCGCTGAGGATGGGCTTTTGTTGGAGCCGGTGGGCCAGAAAACAGTTCTTCACCTTCCTGGGGGATCTAATCCTGATCCTTTGGGAAGCCTTGCCTTAAGCCAGCTATGGTGACCCTTCCGTAGATGGTGGAACACCGAACATGCTATAGCTGGCCATGATCGCTTGGTGTGCTTGAGATCAAAAGTATCAACTTCGTGAGTTGATATAGTCACCGCGTCAGTGGCGGGTGTTTGTTCTAGTCGGCTTTTCATTCCTCATTTAAGGCCCGAGCAAGTAGAATTCGAGGCCCTGCTGACGTGAGTCACTTCTTATATCGAACATCCGGGACTATTAAACACCAAGTTAAAGCCGGGATTCTTCTTTGGGCAGAAAAGACTGTCAACCATGACGCATTGACTCCAGTTTCGATCAGACATGTATTGTACGTGTGTGCGCCAGGTATCATATGATTAGCACGCCCCAGATATCTAACGTCGTATGTGGTGTCTCGACTTGCATCTAATGCTAATTGTATTTGTGTTTAGTAGGGAATCTCTGTCGCAAGGATGTATAAGTGTTGAAGACACTTCTTGATTTACTCCGGAATGACAGAGCTTGCGTTGACTCTAAGCCAAAGTACAATAGGTCTTCTGGCTGAGAGGATGCAGAGTGTCTGTGTGGATGATGATGATGATGATGATGATGATGATGATGCTCGGCTGCGGCAGAGCTGGCTCTGGGAGCGGTGTTATGTTGTATGAGAATGCTATGCACAAGCCTATTTGTATGTGTTGTGCTCCCTTTGTAGACGGATGCTTCTGTGGGGATGATAGACCATAGAAGCTAGGAGATAGTAGATAAAGGGAAAGGAATATGTATGATGATAGTAGATGGGGATGACTCTGAGGTTGGGCCAAGGCAGCTGCTCTCGTTGTCTCAGGGGTTCTTTTGAAGAAGAGCTTGACGTGGCTAGGTTTTGTGATCAGGGAACAAAGAAGAAGGATTGTAGCATCGCCAGGGCGATGGATTGTTATTATATGTGATGACCGCGTGTGGATTCACATTGGACCCATGTAGAGTGAGGTAATATTCCCTGAATTCTATCGCACTCTGCATTCACAGTAAGTCTGATAGTTTAAAGAAGGTATATATTGACATGTATTAAGTAGTAAATACAAAAGTAATGGCTCCTGTTCCATTCAATTCAGCTTGCCATCTCGATCCACATCCATTCTATAGGTCCGATGTATCTGTGCAAGCAAGACTCTGGTTGTATGCGTTATTCACAATGTTTAATAAGGGTGGCGGCACGTCTGTCAATTCAGGTATTAGTTCACCTCCACATTCCATGCTTGCTCCTGACGTGACAGCATCGGCAACTTACGAAGTCACTTCCACACTGGAGAGGTGCGCAGCACGAGAAGGGCCCGGCGGTGCCGTTGTTATTGCAGTAGCGGTCAACCTTCAATTTCCGATCATATTAGCATGCAAGCGCCGTGACAGGGGTTGGGTAGAGCCAGTGAATGTGAAGGGTACATTCAATGGCCAAGAACGAGGAGACATACACCCATGCATGATGCCTGAATGTTAGCTTCAGCAGGTCTGGCAACAGCGACACTGGCCATAAGAGCGAAAACGGCGAGGAAACGCATCTTGAATCGATAAAGATGAAGTGGATAGATCGGTAGACAGATGGCTGGTATCTATCAATCGCGACAGCTGGTTAGCTTATTATCATCATTACCCGTTGGGTCATCCCTTGGATCAAATTAGGGTTGGAGGTTGGTTGGAATGAAGCAAACATACCAAACGAGCACGAGGGCGGAAAATCGTGCGAAGACCGATTCAATCTACAGGTCCAAATGGGAGGGAGGAAGGAAGGTCAAAACAAAACCCCCGGATAGGATCCGCCGCCTCTTTATACAAGGAGAAAAATTAATCCTCCATGGTGCAGCTGTGGAAATAGCCGCCAGCCTCTCCAACCGAATATATTTAGAAGCCTGCAGCCCCAGGGGCGTGAAACGCGCGATCAACAACAACAATTCCAAGGGTGCTGCAAGCCATTGACCCGTGGGGCAAGGCCCAACTGGTTTCAGCAAGTGACAGCTCGCTCATCTCTATCTGCGGAGTCGATCTGCACCCTGGGGTCTAATAGTTTGCGAGGGTATTTCTTGGCACCGGCTGATTGTTACTGTGTCTGTTGGGGTGTGTAAGGGATGAGTCGGCCTCTATGGAGTAGGGATCGTCTGTTAGAAAATCGAAAAATAGGGAAAGATGGACAGGAGTTCCAAGTCGCGATCAGTGCAGGTACACAATGACCACCGTTATTATCTCAGGGGTTTAGGAGCATCGGTAAGGAACCGATAGCAAGTGGTTGGCTGATACCTCCAAATGCTCAGTTGCGAGGGATCCACTGCTCCAGGATCGTGACGTCTCAGTCCACTGTGGAGCGTCGGAAGATAATCTTAGCAACATTTTCTTTGCTTGTGATCAATCATTGAGGCCGGCTAGACGTCTGCGTGAGACGAAATTCGGAATGCTGCTGTAGATGACGTCACCGATTTTCGGCGCTGGCAGTCTTCAACCGCATTCTTATCAACGCGACTTGTATAGCTCAAGGAGAAGTATGAAAGGTAAGTCCGGAGAAAGAAACTGAACCAATTCATTAGTGTTTTGATGACTCCAATACGCCTTCGAATAAACCACACGATGTGCAAACCGAGCAGTACGAAATATTGCAACAGAACGACTTTAGAGTATATCCAGGGCCCCCATATGTTCCCATGTCTCACAATGTATTGAAATGAACTTCTCGAGGATGAACATGTAACATAGAATGGAACGCTATCGCGTACAGAAACAGAAGCCGTTCCCAGAACAGTCGGACGGAGCTATATACGGAGATAAACCAATGCCAAAGCTCATGGAGAATATGCAAAAATCGGTGAGAATCAAATAGAGCATTGTCACAAGTGTGTCGCTGCCATTATGTATTATTCCAGTAAGTGTCGTGCGGTAAGAGGTGAGTCAAATGATATGCAATGCAGAATTCAATGTAAGCGGTTTCGTAACGTGTCTCAAAAAATGCCAAATCGTTTTGTCTTTGCGCCTTCTGTTGCCCCCACCCAGTTAGCAACATATCCCGAAAGTCGTCAAGATCATATGGGAAGCATACCCTTTTTCCCCTTTTGTCCACGGCTGTTGATAGCAGCTTGTGCTGGATCCACACCATCCGAAGCAGCTCGGATGGCGGCAATTCGCTGCGTCGCTCGAGCATCGCCCTGGTCAGCCGCTTGTACGTACCAGACGTTGGCTGCCAGAATGTCACGACGACAGCCAATACCCATTTCGGTAAAATATCCCACTGCATACTGTGCTTTCGCCAGTCCTGTCATACGTGGCAATTAGTAAAGGCTTTTGAGCGTCAGTTCAACGCCACGTACCAGTTTCTGCTGCTCGCTTAGCCCATTCGTACGCCTCACTCTCATCTTTCTCTAGCACAGGCTCAGCACCAACCAAATACCATGCACAGAGAGCCATCATTGCCAATGGATGACCTGCCTGCGCAGCTCCGGTATAGAAGTGAATGCTCAGGGCGGGGTCACGAGGGCAACTCAGTTTGCCATGCTCATAAGCGTCCCCAAGGCGATAGCTTGCCTCGACATGTCCCAAATCTGCCGACTTTGTAAAGAGCTGTGCTGCATAGGAAGGATCCGGGAAGACATCGTCACCGTATCCCTCTTCGTGCAGCAAACCCAGTTCATAAGGGGCAGAATTGTACTGTGAATCGGCGGATTCTGTGGCACGCTTCATCCACTTGATGCCTTCTCGATACCGCTTGCCGAGACCCATATCACCTGCCAGGCAAGCCTTTGCCATTCGCATCATGGCACCTGGATGGTTTTTCGACGCGGCTTGACGATAGAATTGTTGGGCTTTCGCCGCTTCAACTCTAGTTCCCCACCCAAATTCGTAGCAGAGCGCCGTACGGTAACAGGCTTCAACATGACCGTGCTTGCTAGCCGCGAGAAACAGGGGAAACGCCCGATCGTAGTCCTCCTTGCCTTTGCCGAACAGCCCCGATGCATAACCGTCGGCCAAGTAATATTGTGCAAATGGATAGCTGCGATCAGACAAGCGTTGCAGGATTGACTTGGCTTCTTTGAGTAGACTTGAGCGAGTGATCTCCGGCTCTTTTCGACCATAGACGGCTGCCGCGCCCCCTTCTAGTGTATCATCCGGCATGTCCAACATGGCATTGACCATAAACACAGCAAATTCATATTGAATCGCTGGGTTATCCGTCTTCTTGACATTGGCGAGATACATGTCAAAGGTTTGCTTATGGCTGAGCAAGGACGCATTGTTCCCGACAGATGAGCGGAGGTGTGCATTACCAAGTTGCACTGGCGCAGGGCCTGGTTGAGGATAAGGTGTATTGAGGAGATCGACGAAAGATAGTGGTCGAACATCGGGTGATGCACTGGACGACGAGCGCGCGTGAAGATACGGAGATGCATGAGGAGACCCGTTCCGTCCGTCGAGGTCCGATCCGAAAGAGTACGCGGAGTGCGGTCTGCGAGGCTTGCCCACGGTGAGATGGCCGGTTGTACTGACGGAATTCTCTGCTGATCCTGCCGGAGCAGCCCCAAAGGTTTGATACGGACGGTGATGGTAGTGTAAAGGTTCATAGGGCTCTGTTTCATGAACCACACTATCCAAACTACCGCGCGATGAGCCGTTCCGACTGCCACTTGGCGCACCTTGATCCAATGACGAATCACTTGTCTTTGCCACATTGGTCGGTTCGTCTTTGATCTGGGCATCTACGACCGACCAAGAGCCACTGCTGGCAGGCGTATGACGAATGGGCGCTCCACCACCACGTGTGGCAGCATACGAATCTCGTCGTGGCGGGAATTGAGAACTAGAACCTCTTGCATGCGTATGCGGCGGATCTTCAATTGACATGTGAGCGAACGCAGAGGTGGGAATAGGCGGTATATCGTAATCGTTCTCAGCTGCGGCATTCGGCACTTGTTGCTCTCTATCCCCGTCAACCCGGGCAAAGGGTTCCCGATTTCCAGGAGCAGCCGGGAGTGGTTTCCGCGAAATGCTCATGCTCAATGGCCGTTTGGAGGTAGTTGGAGAGGTAAACTCCTGGTGCGGAGGGGGAGGGGGCGGAGAAGATCGAAGGTAAACCGGAGGAGGGGAAACCGGCTGAGGGTATTCACCTGTCACAGGACTAGCCATTTTCATGAGCAGCTGTACCACTGACTCTCACTAGGCCCTCTAAAGCTTTGCAGATATATACAATGCAGGCGTCCGTACTCCTAATGTGACCGGTCCAATCGTCAGACGCCGGAGAAGCGGAGATCTAAGTACGGTGCATAAAGGCCGTCATCGGGGAGAAGAGCTATTATAGCAGTCAAACAATCCAAAGCCAGCCCAGAAGCGAAAGAAATTCAGGGTGCTGGCCGGAAGGTGGAAGAGAGATGTGTACCGTGGAGAACTGGAGGACGGCTGATGGGTCGACTGTAGAGGAGGTTGGGGTCCACTTGATAAACGTTAAATCAAACAAATTGCTTTTTGGCAGTTATGAAGGTAGATGAAAGACAGCCCATACCGCAATGTCCAAGGGATTAACAGAGAAGACGGAAACGAGCGAGAAGGAAGAACAACAATGCAGACCAAGCGAAGGTGTTGAAGTAAAGAAAAAAACAAAATGGACAGATGTAAGAGGTAAGGAGAAAGTTCGATTGCTTTTTGTCAATGGCGGAGATGCTAAAAGAAACTTAGTATGTATTAGGTTGAAGGGTACGGACAATACTCCGTAGTATTTCTTGTATTCGTACCGAGTAGGTGCTAAGTAGTGGTACTTTCTTAAGCCGCACTAGCTTCGTATTATAGTTCTATTCTAAAGACGGTGGCGGAAGAGAAGATGACAGAGGGGGGAGAGAAGGGAGAAAATAAAAATACGCCGTACAAAGCGGGAGAAAAAAAAGAAAAGCAAAGGAAAGGAAAAGGATATTACGAACACCCCCACAGTATCCGTCGTTGCTCTCTTTTTTATATATTTTTTTTTATCTATTTTTATTCGTATTGTTTTTTGTTTTTTTTATTGTTCAAGACAAAAGTGCTGAGAAATACTTTTCACAGTGTTATGGAGTGGGGTAGGTACTCCGTCGATTTCATGCTGAATTGTTACCTATTTTAATCTATTGAGACTTGGTTGCATTACCTTTCAACTTGTTCTGGTAATGTCACAGTGACTTAAAGTAGTAGCGAAAAATCATGGTACCCGATGGGAAATAGATCTCTCGGACTTGCGGCGGAATTACCGACTGATCTCACAAAAAATACTGGTAAAAATAGTTGAGGGGTAATGAACCATTTCCAGTTCCGCTTAACCACCCAGCATCTGATAGGTATTTCTCTGTATTGTGGTGCTTAACAGGGGTGAGATACGGATACGACTGTATATATGCATTCTAAGGAAAACATGGAGGAATCAAAAGAAATCAAAAAAGGAGCTGACTTGCATGTCCAGTACCGTGTGTATGGAATGTGTGTATGTACTGTACTGTGCATGCATAGTGCCAAACTATTGTTCATATGAGACCATCGATGGTGTCTTCATGTCTCACAGGTGGATCGCACCGTTGGTGGAAGATGACTGACATGACAAGAGACCAAGGTGTCATCGGAATTTGGTTGATTGTTGCATGCTACCACTTTGTATATTGAGCCGACTGATACTTACCTACCAATAGCCGCCGTCTCTTGTCGCCCATGTGGTGCTATGCGACGCCCATTCCAATCGCTGCCCTTCATTCCGATGCAGAGCAATGTACTGAACTTGGGGCGGTGCAGAGTCAATCTCACATTTACGAGGAATACTGCCTGATGAGCTGGACATTGTTTTGGATCACACCCGTACTAAGAATAGTAATGAGCAGCACGTAGTAGATGCTTGTTGCTGACTGCGGAGATACAGTAGCCGTCGTCATTGAGCCTCGCAATCTTATGCAGCTGGTGACTCTTACTCGAAGCAGTTCTGCTGGTTGAAAATGTAGCTTTCCAATATTAATTGTTCGTTTTTAATTGAATTCGGTCATACCGAAAGGCCCAATTAAGCCTATTGGCCGTTCTTTATGAAATTAAGCCTTCCGCAAGTCACCAGTGAAGCCCACTATTCCCTTTTCTTGACATGGTCTCCGGATTTCTACTATGCTCTTATTCCTGGATACATGCTATGAGTATTAAAGAGTATTGTAATACTCACAAAAAATACCATTAATCAATCTTAGATCGTGTACTGACATTAGCAGATATAGCACAGGCCATGGAAAAACGAGATAGATCCCATTGGTCTGGGAACGATTTTAGTTCGTCAAAGCTACTCGGTTACTTTCTCCACCTTTGACACCAGAGTCCAGGGTGAGCAAATGCATGTTTAGGCGAATGCTGTTCACCCCAGTCTAACCTGGTTCATTGGCATAAACGTGGCTGACTACCTACTAGTGCTAAGTTGGGCAATTTGGGTTCTTGGGGTACGATGATCCCAGCTGGATACCTGAGGGATTAAGCATGTCTGGGATGCGCTGTCTAGGTAGAAAACAAACTGCACGATGGCGTCATGAGCTGAATGATTGCGATTCAATGCATACTGTGCAGTACACGGTTCTCCACAGGAAGTTCGGCCCTGGCACACTAGAGGCCGATCAACCATTAGATCATGTATATCCGGCATAATTCTAGAGATAATAAAGCCTGGATGGACTCCTTCAGCAAAGAAAAACAGCTGAGAGCTTTAGATCTACCTAGGTCTACAAGCTATGATGATAACTACCAGTAAAACACTATGTCTACCACGAAGCTTACTTTATGTAAATCGCTGGAAGCCTTACAGATCAACTTGCCAGCTTTAGGTTTACTGAGTCAATCATATGTTTGTATTACCCTTAGTCACACTGAGGCTGAAACTAGCTCTTGTTAGGTGGGTTATTGATATCGAAACTGAGTCAATCGACAAAAGTCACCGTTTTCCCTTTACGAATGAAGGATGCTTCCTTGTTATGACATGATAGTTAAATAAATGATACGAGGTAAGCTCTTGGTCACATACTCCGTAATACATACTACGATGTGTATTAGTGTTCTGCATTTCTGATGCATCACTATTTAGTCATTGTGCATGATTCTGGTTTTCTCTTTCAATTTGGGTCAAATCTATGCAATTACTTCCTTGGTCCCAAGTCAATATCAAGCCCCATCAGAACTAGTTAGAATCGTGTGCCGCCACCCAATTGGTGTGGGAAGTTTGAGCCTGAAAATAGAACACGGAGTCTCACTCGATTGGATACATATTCTTGTAGAGGCGGGAGTACCAGCCGGTGTCAACCACTTCCTCCTCCATACAGAGCGCTAGCAGATTCTTTGACCACACTATACATAGATCATGTGAGCTACCAGAATTTCCACCTAGTACTAGTACCACCCAACATTGTGCTGCCTACCTACTAGTAGTCTTCGGAGTAATATCTACCTGATTATTGAGTACCGCAAGAATTCCATTAGCCCGTTGGGGCTTTCCATTTTAACCTTGATTTTGAGAGGAGAGGGGCAAATCATGCTGGGAAAAAAAAAAAAACGCTAGAGCAAAACATCATTGGCTGTGTCTTCCAGGTTGCCGGGGGTTAAACCCAATCTGGTTTAGGGTTACAGATTTTGGGGAGTCAGCACCCAATGAGGGATGATCAGGCGACAGGAGTCCATGGTTAGTGAGGTAACCCTTCCAATGATCCATGCGATCCCGCGAGGTAGTTCTATTGGAGCCAAGCTGGATCTAGCCCCGACCGATTGCCCCTAGCGACGCTGGATGGCAGTTATTTGTGTACACTAATGAAGGTTCCCCGTGGTCACTGTCCAACTCGTTTTTTGATAATTCTTCCGAATTATCCTCAGTAAATCCCTATCTGATCTAGTCTGATTACCCCTTTTACCACTCACAGGCTACCAATCAATCTTCACCAAATAATAAATCTGTAGTGGCCGGGCTCTGTTTCTTGGCTTCGACCGAGGACTCCAGTACTACTACTAGCTACTAGCAGTATGTACCTACTCCGAGGGCCGTATGCACAAGAAGCCATATCCTATGGACGGATAAAAATTAAATTAAAAACCAAAACAATAACACAACAGATAACGCCTCCTACAAATTACCGGGTACGGCAGGTACCCTTCAGGACTAATAGCATTGTGGTTAGGCAGTGTTTTGGCCTGAGGTGGTATTGTTTCCCATTAATGTACTGTACCACCAGGTGATCAGCCTTTGCTCCGCACCCTCTCAGGTCATTGTCCCGCAGATTTCATTTCCCTTTCCTTTACTTTCCACTTTCCATCACCACTCTTTATTCACATCTCTCGCTTATTTGGATCGTCGGCGTTGGAGCCGCTCGATTTGTATTTTCCGACTCGTCGTCGAAGTTGTTCACTCGCTCTGTTTACTGGCAGTCTCGTATTCGCACGGTTCGCTGACAATTCGAATCTACTTGCGCTCGACCATACCACATTGGAACCCGCGATCGTTTCTCAGGCAGTTTTATCACACTTCTTTCGTGTCGCTGCTCCATTCCAGATATTTGTCGATCATTTCGGCTACCCTAGGAAGCTGGACTTTGCGTTACAACACCGTCGCATCAATTTAGTTGTCTATGCGAAGATTTAGCCAGTCAACATCGCTTTGATAACAAACCATCGCCGTCTATGCTCGCTTCAGTTTAACAGTGAGTGGACTCTAATGCGCATCCCACCCTCTCTCCGAAGTCTACAAATGCCCGAATCTCACTATACTCACACTCGTGTTCCTTAGAAGCGTCATGTCTTTGCCGCAACGGCCGGGAAAGGCCTCCCCGCGACGAGAAGAGGTCCACTCGGCTTTCCGGGAATCATCGCACAGACGCCGACGAGATAGTGACACAGGAGGTCTCACCGATACGCTATCGAGCCCAACATCGCATCGCCATCATCATCACCGACGCCATCGGTCGCACAGCTCTCGGAGAAAGAAAGATGTAGACGAAGAGAGAGGAGATACGGGCGAGGAGGTTTGGCGCAAAAAGAGCTTCGTCAAGCCGGAGCGCAGTCGCATCGACCCAGATCATCCCAACTACCACTACCGCCAACGGTCACAAAATATGCCCACATACCCATCGGCGACAGGGCATGAGCCATTAATGGGTGGAGAAGGTGAGGCTGATACGAACAGTTCCCGCAGTATGGATAGGGCCAAAGAAGGCGTGTATGGTGAGCATGGGAATATCAACAAGCCCATGGATCGGGCTCCGAGTCGGCGTCGGACCAAGAAAAGGAGGCACTCTAGGAAGATCACGAAGAAGGCGTCTGCAGAGGAAAGGAGACGACAGAAGGCGCTAGAACAAGTTCGTCCCCCAAGCCTGTGGAGTACGTATTGCGCGATCATCACATTCTGGGCACCAGATTTTGTTCTTCGGTGCTTTGGAATGCCACAAAAGGCGCAACGGAGTGCGTGGCGCGAGAAGATCGGGCTTATCAGTATTATCCTGCTCATCGGAGCGTTCGTCGGATTTTTGACCTTTGGATTTACGGCCACTGTATGCGGAACTCCTCCAGTGCGACTGAAGGTCAATCATGTCACCAAAGGCTATATGATCTTTCATGGGAAAGCCTACGACTTATCTAAATCGAAGCACCCCGCGGCCGCTGGGATTCCAGGCAGCTCCAATGTTCTCTATGATCTGCCCGATAAGTATGGTGGCCAAGATGGGAGTTTCTTTTTCCAGCAAGTCAACGGAGCCTGTAAAGGTCTAATCACACTTGCGGACGGATCTGACGTGCCTACCAACTCAAACGGCGACTTAGCCTGGTATTTCCCCTGTACGGCTTTCAACCAGGATGGCTCATCCGAGCCCAACTATACGGAGCCTTACTACAATGGATGGGCCTGCCACACATCAGGGAAGGCCCGGAAATCGTTTTATAGTCTAGGGAGCTCCGGAGACGTATACTACACATGGGATGATACGAAAAACAAAAGCAGAAACCTGGCAGTCTACTCCGGAAACGTGCTGGATCTTGATCTCCTGCGGTGGTTCAACACTGATCAGGTCAAATACCCCGCCAAATTTGATCAGCTCCGCACAAACCCAGATGTGCGCGGCGTCGACCTTACATATTACCTTCAGACTGGGGAAGAGAAGAAGATAGGCAAATGCCTGTCCCAGATCATCAAGGTCGGCAGTATAGATACTGACACAGTTGGGTGTATTGCCTCTAAAGTCGTTCTTTATGTGTCACTGGTCTTCATCTTATCCATTGTGGTCGTCAAATTTGCGTTTGCCTTGCTCTTCCAGTGGTTCCTCGCCCCAAGGCTCGCCGCCCAGAGGACGAGTATGAGCTCGGATCCCAGGAAACGTAACCAGCAAATCGAAGACTGGTCGAATGACATTTATCGACCCGGCCCTCGGCTGACAGATCCCACGGACCGCCCCAATAAAAGGGCGAGTTTCCTACCAACCACTTCCAGGTTCTCGAGCCCTTACACGGTGAGTAACGGCGGGAAACAACGCCCTCAATGGGTAACCATGGCGAGCCAGAACTCCACCAGCCGGCTGGTTCCCGGCGGTGGCTCCATGTATAAGCTGAGCCACAATAGCAGCGGTGGCTCAGTGAGTGCGGATGCGTCCCGCCAGAATCCTACGGCCAGTCGATCAAGCTTAGTGCAAGACTCCCGCTATTCCACTGCCATCGCTGACTCCGACGGCCTTGGAGCGGGTGGGTACATCCATGAAGCTGTTGTTCCTCAACCGCCGCCCGAGTGGCAGCCCTATGGCTTCCCCTTGGCCCATGCGCTTTGTTTGGTTACTTGCTATTCGGAAGGTGAAGACGGGATCCGTACCACCCTTGATTCCATCGCGATGACCGATTATCCTAACAGTCACAAGACCATTATTGTTATTTGTGACGGTATGATCAAGGGAAAGGGCGAGGAGTTTTCTACTCCCGAAATTGTGCTTCGTATGATGCGAGATCCGGTTGTCCCTATGGATGAGGTCCAGCCGTTCTCCTACGTAGCAGTGGCAACCGGCTCCAAGCGACACAACATGGCCAAAGTCTATGCTGGCTTCTATGACTATGGCGAGACGTCCATAATTCCACCGGAGAAACAACAGCGTGTTCCGATGATGATCGTTGTGAAATGTGGAACCCCGTCCGAAGCGAAACAATCCAAGCCCGGCAACCGCGGCAAGCGGGACAGTCAAATTATTCTGATGTCCTTCTTGCAGAAAGTGATGTTTGATGAACGGATGACGGAACTTGAATTCGAAATGTTCAACGGTCTCTTACATGTGACCGGCATACCTCCAGACTTTTATGAAGTCGTGCTCATGGTCGACGCCGACACGAAGGTCTTCCCGGATAGTTTAACCCACATGATCTCCGCCATGGTTAAGGACCCTGAGGTCATGGGTCTCTGTGGTGAGACTAAGATCGCTAACAAGACGGACAGTTGGGTGACTATGATTCAAGTGTTCGAGTAGGTGCACCCTCCCTTTTGTCTCTAATGCTTTTTCTGACTCTCGTATCAGGTACTTCATTTCCCATCATCAGTCCAAATCGTTCGAGTCTGTCTTCGGTGGTGTGACCTGTCTTCCCGGGTGTTTCTCCATGTATCGGATCAAAGCACCGAAAGGAGGCCAGAACTACTGGGTGCCGATTCTTGCCAATCCCGACGTGGTGGAACATTATTCAGAGAATGTAGTCGACACTCTGCACAAAAAGAATCTGCTCCTACTAGGAGAGGATCGGTACTTGTCAACCCTGATGCTTCGGACTTTCCCCAAGCGGAAACAGATCTTTGTGCCCCAGGCTGTTTGCAAAACTCAAGTGCCCGACAAGTTCATGGTCCTCCTCTCTCAGCGTCGTCGCTGGATCAATAGTACAGTTCACAACCTAATGGAGCTGGTACTGGTGCGAGACCTATGCGGAACGTTCTGCTTCAGTATGCAATTCGTCATCTTCATCGAGCTGATTGGAACACTGGTCCTTCCTGCGGCTATCGCATTTACCTTCTACGTGGTCATCTCGTCTATTGTCAGGAAGCCGGTGCAGGTCATTCCGCTGGTCCTGCTGGCCCTCATTCTGGGACTTCCCGGTGTGCTCATCATCGTCACCGCCCACCGATTGGTCTACGTCTTGTGGATGTTGATCTATCTCATCTCCCTGCCTATCTGGAACTTTGTTCTTCCGACTTACTCGTACTGGAAGTTTGACGACTTCAGCTGGGGTGACACACGGAAGACGGCCGGGGAGAAGGACAAGGGCCACGAGGCTGGGGAAGGCGAATTCGATAGTAGTAAGATCACGATGAAGCGCTGGCGAGATTTCGAGAAAGGTATGTGTATTTTTGGGATGTTTCGGAAACTTATAGTAGCTGACTTGTCTGGCAGATCGCCGGCTTCGCATGCAGGCCGCCTGGGGACAGCCTCCGATGGGAGGATACCCTGCTCGTTACGAGGAATACTCCGACTACTAGTATATAGGGGACATGTGCTATTTGTTTTTCAATGTTGGTCATGAACGAGTCGATTGACTTTTGTATTACATTTTTTTTTATCTTCTCCGTTTCTAATATTTTGTGCCTTTCTATCCCTTTACTTACTTGGGAGGCATCTAGAACCATTTTTTTGTATAGCTTCTTGCGAAGGGTACGGACTGTACACCGGTGTTCTTGGAGATACGCCGTCTGCCAGGATGAGTGGATTCTGAACGGATTGTGACAGTATTTAGCTTTGATGTAATTTTTGAGCGAGACCAGCGATGGAGTATATAATGAATGGACACGACTGATGAGAGATAGGAAGGATGACCTCGTCCATTGTAATTTCGAAATGAACCGCCGAGGGCAAAAGAAAAAAAAAGTATAAAAAAAGAAAAGGGAAGAAAAAGGAATGCAATTAGATTACTCAGGTAACATGCAAGGCAGAAAAAGCAAAGATGAGACTAAAGCAGCAATCAATCACATCGCTTGCTAGTGATCTTAGCAGGCTTCCCGAAGAAGGACCCTTGCCACAGCTGCCGATGGATTGAACTTACTCTCCTGTGGTTCCTGTTTCGAGGTGACTGATGATTGTTTCTCGTCTTATTGGAGTCTTCGAGGGACAATGAGAGTTGGTTTTGCCACCACTGGACCACTCCAGGTTGTTGATGCTCGGACCCTTTTTTTTTGTAATAATCAAATTTAATAATTATCTTTTCGAGAGGACGTTTTGGTAGTTTTCTGAGAACACGTTCCCTATTTTTGCTTTTGCGGATCATCCCGTCCATGTGACGGCTCATGCACGTTCTGTTCTTTTCGGTATTTGGTAAGGTTTCCGGTCTCTGGCCTCCAGGGTACAGTCCTCTATCTACGAAGTACTAGTATCGGATGCCTCTCTCTCTCTCTCTCTCTCGCTCGCTCTCCACTCATGGGCCCCTCACTCCACTTGTACTGCGCTTTTCATCCATGAATCATGTACTCTGCATTCCCGGTTCGTATGCCTGATCAAACCCTACCGACATCATTGTTCTTGACTTGACTTTGTTGCAAATTTCATCCAAATACCAAATAATAATTATACCCCCAAAAATCAAATCAAATCAGAATATTAATATTGTCAAAGAGGCTGGAAACTAACTCCGATCGGCGGTCGTGACATTGCGGTTCAGCCCTTCCAGAAGGTGGTTGAATAACCGTCAAGAAAAAGAAATCCTCCAGGGAAATAACAGGCAAATCAGAAGACCCTGTGATTGTGTTACTGACTATTCTATCTTCACCCTTTTTTTTTTTTTCTTCACCTTCTTTTATTGTTTTTTTCTTTTCTTTTTTTCCCCCTTGTTTTTGGTCGGGTTCCCATTTCGGGAGGTGAACATCGGACTACTGCAACTCACTGGAGTGTTACTTACTCACTTGGTTCACTTACTTTCTTTTTTATTGGAAACACCGCCCCTCTCTTTCTCTTGCACACACTCTCCCAAACAATCCATTCTCTCTCACTTGTCATACCATCAACACTGTACAACTTCACTCCGTCTTACACAGAGCCGCAGGTTGAGCTTGCGACACCTGAGGGAATCCCTTTTACGCCCAACCTGACCCTGTTCTCCGCGTGGGGGGGTTGGTGGGAGACGAGCTGCGGGGTGACCGACGGGTTGCAGAGCCAAGATCTCTGATCCCGATCGAGAGAAACGTGGACGGTTTTCGCTACTCCTGTGTGACTTCCGGTGCCAATCAGGCCTCCTCCAGTTACATTGCGTCCTGGTTTTGTCTACTGCCATTCTGTTGCCTTTCCGCGGCTTGCGCGAAGCTCTTGCGGTCGAGTTGTCGGCTTCCGAACGAGGCGCCCCATGAAACGGCAATGCCTAATCAGAGTGGATCTGATATCTCTTTGACCTCGAGCTTGTCAGTATGCCCAGGTGACTGCGATACGAGGCCCGGCTCGTCATCATGTGACACTCTGGCCGCGTCGCAACATCGTCGGCCTTCTTACTCCACCCCAGAAGGCGTCCCGGTGACAAGGGATCAGCAATCGGTGTTGAGCGAGACTGATGCGGCCTCAAGTGCTTTCGACCCGACGGACCCGGGTATCTCTGCCATCATGGCGCTGCCACAATACCCGAGCGTCGCTACCAATGAAGCCAACTTTTTGGCTGTCTCCGAGGTCGTAAATGCCGTGATCGACCGCGATTCCTATTTCCGCCGTGCAGGGGAAGGGGATGAGGGAACCGTCCATCGTCACTCATCGCCACCCACCGACCTGTACATGTCAGATTCAGAGATGACAGATGTATTGTCCGACCTGGGCGGGGTACCGCTCGCGCCATATGAGAACGGGCAACTCGGCATGGAGACACTGGTTCACCACCTGATCGATCACGCAACAGCCAGGCGCGCCATCTCTACGATTTCGGAAGATAGTGAAGACGAAGACGACGATGCCGCAGCTCTGATAACAAACTACGACACCCCCGTGAATCAAAATCCATCCACCCCAATCTCGGAGCAGGACGATCTCCTGGACGACGCAGAGAAGTTCTACTCGGATGAGGATGGCAGCAACTACGATGAAGACTTCGCTGACCAATCCGAAGTCTACCAGGCTGGGGACTTATCGGAGGTTGATTACGACGATTTCTATCGAGGCTCAGATCATGACCTGGGCTCGCAGGCAACAGAAGTCACAGGTCATGACGACCACAACTACCCCTCCGATGGTGAGGATTGGAGTGGTGGAGATTTGACTGGCGATCCCCGCTTTCCTGCCTCCGTCATACACGGAACCAGTACGTATTGTCATGGTCTCATATGGGCCACCTTTTCCTTCCTTCCTTCCTTCCATCCTTGGATCATATAATTTGCTCACAGTGAGGCTATGCTGATTGTCTTATGTGCGACAGCCCATGAAAGAAACTTTACTATCGACCAGTTTATCTCTCAGTGGCTTGTCCAGTCGACGGCGGCCTCGATACCGAGTCTTCCGGTTCTTTCGACGGCGATGCCGCCAAGTCCCATCTCCAATATCCTTGGCTGGAATCCTCCAGCAAAGATCGCACGGCCGAGTGGGTACACAGGAGACTTTTATGACATCCAACAGATCCCCTGGTGGGAGACCTTACGAGTCAAGCGAGCAGACGCCCGGGAGCTACGAGACCTCTGGTATACGTCATACCATAATTTAGAGTACTCGAATCAACGGCCGGGGTTGCGACTGTCTCAGGAGGAGTTCTACTTCCGGGAAAAGGCTATGTACACCAAGCATAAAGCTACGATCGAGCACTTTCAACTCCGGAACTTGATGTCGGTTGCCGCCTACAACACGGTGCATTTTGCCCAAGAGTCGAAAGTGTATTCCTGGGTGCCTGCGTATGACGATGTGAGCTGCTTGATCGACTTGTCCAAGCCGTCCGCCGAATCCGGATTCCACGCGCCTGTGAAGATCTCTACTATGAAATCAGCTCACGACGTTGCCATCGCTGGTGGATTTGCAGGTGAATATGCTGTGCGAGCATCGGGCACGCAGGAGGGTGGTGTGGAAGGATTCGTGACGAAGGACCCCAACGGGATCACCAACCATATCGATGTCGTCCCCAGTCGCACGAGCCGGTCGCCGATGGGTATCTTTGCCTCCAACGACCGACACCTCCGCGTGCTAGACGTGGAGACCAATACCTTCATTGCAGATCAAGAGCTGTCGCGCGCCATCAATTGTACGGCCACGTCGCCAGATGGACGTTTGCGGTGTGTCATCGGCGACTCGCCCGACGCTTGGGTCGTCGAGGCAGATACGGGACGACCGGTACATCCCCTCCGAGGCCATCGCGATTTTGGGTTTGCGTGCGCGTGGTCTCCCGATATGCGACACATCGCAACCAGCAACCAAGATAAGACAGTGATCATCTGGGATGCACGGACCTGGCGCGTTCTGGAGAAGATCGAGTCGGACGTCGCGGGGTATCGATCTCTCCGTTATTCGCCGGTCGGCGGCGGCCCACGCACGCTACTGCTGTGCGAACCGGCTGATCGCATCTCGATCATCAACGCACAAACGTACCAAACGCGGCAGGTGCACGACTTCTTTGGGGAAATCGGTGGTGCGGACTACTCTCCGGACGGTAGCGCCGTCTGGGTTGCCAATACCGATGAACATTTCGGTGGATTTATGGAATACGAGCGACGCCAATGGGGACAGCGATACGGAGTACGGGACTTGCCTAACGAATGGGTGCGAGAGTCCGACTTAGACGAGGATGAACGATGCGTTCTCAGCGAACGGGAGCGACAGATGCGTTTCTGGTGGAATTTAAGCGACGAAGAACATGAGGGGATGCTAGTGGTGTAGCAGCAATCGGCATTGCTACCGCTTCAGGGGCTTCATCTCCCAAAGAACCATTGGTTGTCGAACCTTAAGAAGATGGGGAATAGTATTCGACGAGGGGCATTTCTCAGGAAAGATGGATTCACTATTTGCTACGAAGGCGCTTTATTACGGAATCCCCACATATTTTAGTTTATTTTTTATTTTTTCTGTTCTTCTTCTTCTTTTATGTTTTATTGTATCTACACATACTGGGAGGCCTGCTGACAGCGTTACGAGATACCACTGAATCGAATCCAGCACATTGTTTTTTCTTTTTATTCATGGAATCCAAAACTCTACGTAATACCCGTGTGGCGACCAAGATCGGTGTGATCAGATCGGTACCCAATGATCGGGGCTGTGGCTGGGCAACCCCACCGCCGATCTTCAGCTCAACCACAGCACAGCCGCAGCCCCTCCTTGTCTGGGAAATAAATACCATACAAACAACGAACCTTCCCCCTGATTCCTTCTACATCATCTTTCACCTTCTTCGTTAAACAACCTCACGATCAAAGAAAATCAAAATGGGTTTCTCCGACTTCCTTCAAGACGCCGTCTCCCAGGCCGTCAGCAACGCCGGTAACAACTCTGGCGGCAACAACAACAACAACCAGGGCGGTTCCAACCAGAGCTACGGAGGAGACTCCTACGGCGACCGTCCCTCTTACGGCGGAAACCAGGGAGGCTACAATGACCGTCCTTCTCAAGGCAACCAAGGAGGCTACAACGATCGTCCCTCTCAAAGCTACGGAGGTGACTCTTATGGCGGAAACCAGGGCGGTTACAACGACCGTCCTTCCCAAGGCTACGGCGGAGACTCCTACGGCGACCGCCCCTCGCACGGCGGAAACCAGGGAGGCTACAACGACACCTCATACAACGCCCCACCCCCCTCGCACGGCGGCTACCACAACTCCAACCCCTCCTCTCAGGGCTTCTCTGACAACGACGTAAACCCAGCGCTCCGCCACGCCCAACAGCACCACTCCGACTCCGACTCCAACGACTCGTCCCTCTTCAGCACCGCCCTGAACTTCCTCAAGGACAAGCAAGGCCGCTCTTCCTCCCCGGACATCGACGAGTCCGATATGGTCCAGTCCCACCAGCAGCTCTACAATGACAACGATAGCAGCAGGGCCCATGATTCGAACTCCCTGGGCGCTGGCGCTGCGATCCAGGCTCTGAAGATGTTTTCCTCGGGCCAGAGCGGTGGCTCTTCTGGCGGAGACCAGAATGCCTTTATTGGTATGGCGATGAGCCAGGCTGCTAAGCTTTGGGATCAGAAGAACTCGAGTGGCAAGGTGGTATGTTATTTCCCCCCCCTCCCTCTTTCTATTTTCTTTTTGGCTTGTAGGTTTTGATTTTGAGTGAATGCTAATCTGGGTTGCGGTAGACCGATGATAAGCAGTCGGCTGTGAACAAGGCCGCGGAGATGGCTATGAAGATGTATTTGAAGAACCAGGGCAGTGGATCGTCTGGTAGCGGTGGGCCGGCGCTGATGAACTTGGCTAGCAAGTTCCTGAGCAAGTAGATTGGTTTAGGGGTTTAATTTGTTTTCTTTTGTGAATATGGTATATGGTTTTATGTTATATTCTTGGACATGACAGAATAATATACAGAATGATCTGCTACTACTGAACGCATGAATAAATATATGTCTCTTGACGGGTGAAATTTATAGCAACAATTCTATTTTATAATCTAAACAGCCAGGGTTCATGCAGCGCCAAACAATGAATCCCATGGTATCAGTAGACCAGCAAATCCAAAGCAAAACTCTAGCTAGAACTCGGGATAAAAAAAAAAAAAAAAAAAAAAGCGCGGATATTGGGAATGAGAATGGAAGAGGTAAATAAATAAAGGTAGAAGGTGAAGCAAGTCTATCACCACTCGTCATCGTCGTCGTGCTTGCCTTGCATCGCGTTTTGTCGTGCTCTCAATGCCTCTGCGAGGCCTCCTGCTAAGCTGGCGTTCGAGGTACTGTTCGGCGTCCCGCGACCACTACCACCAGACGAGTCGTGCGAGTTCATGCTCACGGCGCTGTCCCGGGGCGCTGGTGGAGGTGTCGGCACCGCTTTTCTACTAGCCATGTTCGGGCGCTTCGCAGGAGGTGCAGGAGGTGCCGGTTTAGCCTTGGCTGCGGCCGCCGTAGCGGCTCCGTTGGCGGCCGGCACCGGGCTTGCCCTCGGTGCGGCTGGTGGTGGTGGTGGTGGGGGAGCAGGCTTGGGTGTAGGCGCGACTTGCTCTTCAAGATACGCCTGGGGGGTCCAGCCCTGGACGGAAGTTGTCATGTTCATGCACAACCACCAACCTAGTACACATTAGCCTCGTAAGTAGAGAAGTGAAGAAGTCAAAGTCTTACCGTTTCCTTCCTTCGATACAATCTGCACAACTTCTCCCGCCCGGATGTCCAACTCGTTGGTCTGGGCACTAGTGAAATCGTACAAGACCTTCGCGGTTGCTTTCTTCGGCGCCGGGGGACTCGCGGGCGGTGGTGGCGGAGGTGGAGCTCTCACGGAGCCAGATGAGGCATTCCGTGTATGAGAAGCGGCTGCGGCTGCAACAGGCTGAGGAACGGGTCTAGGAACGGCAGCTGGCTGAGGAGCAGGAGTTGGTCGTGCCGCAGCCGGTTGCGATTGAGGCAGAGGCTGGGGTTTGGGTGTAGGTCTGGATGCAGGTCTGGACGCCAGTTTCGACGGCCCACCACCAGGACCCCCGGGGCGCAACAGCTTTCCTTTGGTGACTGGTCGTGCCGCAACTTGCTTCGCCCGCGGCGTCGGCTTGGAGACGGAGCTCGGGGGCTCGCCGGGGCTAGTGTGAATAGTGTGACTCTTGTAGGTATCAACGTTTGGAGACGCGGCTGGATCCTTAACAGCTTTGACGGTCGCCAACTTGCCGGGCTTCTTGTTGTATTCAATGCTACATTGGATTAGCGGAGGAAAACAACTTCACATGAACACAACTTACTTCTCGGAAATCTTCAGATTCAATTGCCCACGCAAAGCGGTCTGAAGATGAGTGAAAAATTCCGTTTTGAAGACACAGTTGATCAAAGGATCAGGTTCCTGCCCACCGATGACCAAGGAGAACCAGTCATCTTTCAGGTTTGAGGTGCTAACAGCCTTGATGGCACCAAGCGGTACCGTTCTTTCAGCTGAAATTTGCAATTGATTATTGACAAGAGTTTGTGCCACGATATATACATGTCGGTTCGTCTGCAATTGTTAGGATACGAGTTGTTTTCGGCATCATCAAGACACTCACCAAAACGAGAATCCGTGGAGAAGGTTTGCTGGACCGACCAAACTTGGAGATCAGGACTTCACCACGGCAAGAAAAGAGAACATCCTCCGATCCTTGAATCAAGTCAGCAAGCATTGTCGACCACAACGTAGCATGAAATACACTTACCGCTAATGCCTGCACCGTTGCGGATCATCTCTCCCGGTCCACCCTTGTTACCCATTCCAAGATAGTCACCAAGGAATCGTCGAGAGCCGAGCAAACTCATTCTGCGACGTTCCTTGCGACCTTGGAGCACCTGGTGGCCTTGATCACGCACCTTAAGAAGTTCAAGACCGCCGGTGGTACGACGCCAGAATCGCTGGATGCGGGTGGCGCACTCAATACGATAGCGAAGGTAGTTACGCCATGCGCGCTGGATACGAATAGCCATATTGTGCCAGTACCGGTCACGCATAGCCTCCAGGGCAAAAAGCGTTTCGGGGGTCTTGACGAACACCTTCGTGATACCCATCTGGTACTCCTCTGCGGGAATACTAGTGTCCTTGAGGATCTGCCGAGCACCTGATTCCGCGTCGCCGGTCCATGTGTAATCGCCGGCGTAGGACGTCTTCGGGGACAGAAGATAGAAACGCTCTACGAACTTATCGAAAGTTTGACGATAAGCGAAACCAGCACGTCGAATTCGGACGTTTTCCTGAAGACCGAGGTATTTGATTTGATGCAGAACATTTCCAACATTGTATTCCTTCGGGGCCTTGTTGTCGTTTGGCTTGATGGTACGGATATATGATGGCTGAGCTTTCATCAAGGTAGCCACCAGGTCGTTAGCGGAAGCCTTGATCTTATCGCTAGCTGTAGGTGGACGCCTCTTATCATCCTGGTTGACCTGGTTAGGGAAGATTGTGTGGACAAACTGGTTACCGCTCGATCCGACTAGGTTCAGCAGATCCTTCAGTAGCTGGTCTTTGTTCTTATCCGTCATACCCTCTACCGAGTAACTGACATCACCGGCGTAGTGCTTGACAATGAACTGACCCTGTCGGTTCTCGAAGTTTGGATTCTGCCCGAGGAAGTTCAGCCTGCCCACAAAGGTGTTGTCCGCAGCGCCAGAATCGGCATGCGCTGTTGCGCAAGCGTCATTGAGGGCGGCGAAAACACCAGGTGGGCGCTTGTCTTCGATCAACGAGCATACGACCTTGTTATCAAAGTATTTAATGGGCGTCCACTGGATCTGCTCACGAGCATACTCATCTTGCTCGGCCTTCAGGGTTAACTGGATGAAAATTTGCTGTAGCTTCTCATTAACATAGTTAATGCAGAGCTGTTCGAAGGAGTTCTTCTCAAAAATTTCGAACCCGTAGATATCAAGAATTCCAATCGAGTTTGATACGGCTTCCCTGGCAGTCAAGGACTGATTGACACGATCCACGATCCAATCGAAGAGATTGAAATAGATTGCCTTGGATAGCGCATCACGTACGGCAAGGGCTTGGACGGTGTTCAGAGGAACTTCGTAAACCGATCCCCTACGGCCTCCGCGGGCGGTTTCCATAATGCGAATAGTGAGCGCTTTGTTCACCTGAGCAGGGTCGACTTCCAGCAAGTAAGCGACAAAATCAACGACCGACTGATCCGAGATCGCAGCGTTCCCAGAATCGTCCTCAGCAAACTGAACGTTTCCAATCCATAGAATGGCGGCAAGCATTCGGAAGACGTTGTCCTGTTCGGCTTCGCTCATTCCAATCACCCCCATTGCATTCAGAGTATCTTTGAACTCAGCACTGTCGTCGACTCCCGGCACGTCGAAGCATTTCGAGCGGCTTGTATAAAGGTAGGATTGGGGCTGCTGTATACCAAACATATCTGCAGTTCATTAGACCATTATCGCTCTTGTAGGGACAGAAACAATACCTCGATATTTCTGCGGCGCCGCCTTTGTAAACTGGTAGAAGATATGAAAGTTTCGCTCGTTGGCGATCTGACCGACGACTCGCGATTTCTCCAGCAAGTAATTGGTGATGTTGGCGCCGACAGGCTCACCATTGGCGTTGAATTCTAACTCGAGGTACTTTCCGAAGCGAGAGGAGTTATTATTGCGCAGCGTCTTCGCATTACCGAATGATTCGAGTAGCGGGTTTGTGGCCAAAACCATGTCTTTCGTCTGTTGAATGGACGAATCGCTTCCGCCGGATACACTGGCGATGTACTGCATGATCCGCTTTGCGGCCTCTGTCTTCCCCGCACCCGACTCTCCGGAAATGATCACACATTGGTTATCCTTGTAGGATTTCATGTTATAATATGAGGATTCTGCGACTGCGAATACGTGAGGAGGAACTTCGAGTCGGTTCTTACCCCGATAGGAGTCGAGGACACGATCGGTATAGATGCCCACTAGAAAAGGGGTCAGTCAGCTCATGTCCACCCCCTGATCATGCTTCTCAATAGGTGTACCTACAGTCTCGAAACGGGTTCACAGACACCAAGACATGTCCGATGTACGTCTAGAAGAAAGAAACCACTTAGTCCCGATCTGGCGCATACCCCGCGATATCAACTTACGTAGATTTCGTCATGTTCGAAGCGGAGTTTCAGGTTGTCGTTGATTGCTTCGTTAGAGATCTTGCTCAACAATGTAAGATCCGAAACACCAATCTCCTTCTTCTTTGTTGTCTCGAATACAGCCTTCTTGACTTGCGGTTTTCCTCCTTGTCGCCCGTCGCCCACATCAGCGACCTTCGAGCGACCGAAGCCTCGACTCTTCTTCTCCCCGCCAACAGGACGTCGTGAGTGTCCCTAATTGCGATCGTGTGTCAGCGGAATTGTTTCTTGGGATTAACTCCAAGCCGATATCGTATGCAGGAAGATGCCAGACAGAGAGGAAGAGGCGACTCACCATGGTTGTTGTTACCGACTACCCCGGATTGGGCGCCCAGGCGTCAAGATATGTGGTGTATAAGTTTAGAAACGGAGTATTGTAAAGTAAGCGTTCAATAACTGAGGGGAATGAGCGCAAAAGAAAGGTCGCTCATTCCAAGTGTACACACACACGAATAAAGAAAGTGAAGAAGGGGAAAACAGAACAACGCTCGTAGAATGAGTGTTGCAAGATAATATTGGGGGGAGAGGGAGGAGGAATGACGATGTGGTACCTGTAGAGGACAAGACGCAAGACTGTCTAGTCAACTAGCATTGTTATTCGGCGGGACAGCCGATGGAACTTCCGTCTGCGCCACACACACACACACGTGTGGCACCGTTGGGTTGACTTCCTTTCAGGTCGACAACGCGCAATCCCTTAAATTCAACGTCTGGTACTGGTTAATAATCTCGACAATATTCGCCTCTTCCATTCAGGGTTCTGGCGGCAAAATTGGTGCCTTGTCCCTGGAGATCCAGAATTTTACTGCAAAATGACAGTCAATATATTATTACTATTAATAGAGTTCCTCAAAATTCATCCATCTGTTCTCCGTATTCGTTTTATGTAAGGTCGATTTGGGGTCTATTTGTATGAACCTCAAAAGGAGTGAGATATTGGCCTCAGGCAGTCATTTTCCATTGGTGTCCCAAAGGGTCTCCCTACGTCATCCCTGCATCCTATAGTTCAAAAATTTATCAACAGAAAATGCTCCCCTTAATTCCCAAGGCGGGAATCCCTGGAAGAAAGACGAAGTCGAGTCGATCTTACTCTATACATCTTTCGATTGGTCTTTATTGAACGCATCTGAGGCAATAAGGGGTAGTCTTGGATTGAGTGGAGCTGAGATTCCACTACGGAGTACGACGGCTATATATTTTGACCAAGCCCTGGCATTAACCTGCCCAATCTGGGTTAATTTCATTAGGAACCCAAACGGGCTCAAGGAAAATGATAATAACCATGGCAATAAAAAGCAAACGAGAAGACTAAGTTGAGCTCCTTTACATCATCATTCACATGCCCTATCATGATACCAAAATTCTGCAATTTCTCTCGTTCGCGCTTCCCCGAGGTAGTCCACCAGAACTTCCCATCCTTCTAAAGTACGAACGGCCTGACTCAAGCCTCTCAGTGATGGAAACAGATCACTTACAATATTAGTTTCTTGGTCAGAGAGCATGTTGGAGTGGGCAGAAGTGACATGAGATAGCAAAGCCATAGATTCTGTAAGAGACGGGGCTTGCAAAGGTATTTCAGCAAGACCAGTCGTATAACCTTCGAGGCAGGAAAAGAAACTGGATGAGTCAGGTATGGGGATTATCGGGATTGGAGCTGGTAGGCGTTCGGCTACTCTGTCGGTATGTTGTGTCCTGGTCAGTACTAGAAGAGGACTTGTTTCGGATGATGGTAGACTCCGTACAATGCTTGTAGAGCCATCAGCCCGTCCAGATCACACTTTCCACTGGCTCTGTTGAATGAGTTTCCAGAAAGAAAGAAGGCAATTGCATTTTTCTGGCAATACGAGTTTTCCCGGGAATGGTAGAAGTTGATCAACCGGGAGGACGTGTTTTCTTTGTCGGAAGCTTGAAGAGAGCATGGGCTGAGGAGAAGAATTCTCAGAGACAACGAGTGAGACTGCAAGTGCAAGTTGAGATCGCAGTCTTGGAGTTCACTTTCTAAGGTATTTGTCAGGCGCACAGTTGCGCAGGGGAATATAAGTAGTGAGCACACCTTCCAGTCCCAATGTGGATGCCGTTAAAGCAGGGCCGATGACCTTCCAGATGGCACGGCGCCGAAGCGTGGAGCAGAACTGCCCGCGAATAAAGAAAATGGAGGGAGTAGTTTGGGTATTCATAGTTTGTGTAGAGTTGTATTGTTAGGCACATAGCAAGTCAGACTTATGTACACTTGTATTACATGTCAATGGTAAGAGAGGAGATCAAGTCATCTGCTTCTTCTCCCTTGTAACAGAGAAGGGTATCTATATGTCGCATCCCGGATATTCAAAATATAAAACACCAAAACGCGCCTTCAACGACGAGTTCTATAATGATATCTGCACAAAAGAAACGCAATCTATTCATGAGTTGGTGATCTCTCAAGCGTTTTTCGACTCTAAGCTCTGGTCGGGGCTGGCGGGATTCTGTGCTGGTACTACCTCGCCAACAGGCGCGGGCACCTTTGGAATTGTCTTCTTACTTTCCCGAATGACTGATTCGGCTTGCTGTTCTGGCGTCTGACCAACTGGCAGATAGGATGAGATCCAAGCCCACCAGCCCTGCTCTTCGACCTGTTCTGTTTCCTCCTGTCTCTCGACGTCCCAGACCTCGCGGGGCAGGATTCTAGGGGACGATTTCGATAGCTCGCCATGCTTGGCCTTCTGTGCTAGAAGCTCTTTCTCCACAGCCAGAAGAGCTTCTCGGGCGGCTTTTTCGGATTTTTCGAGTTCGGCCAACCGACTTTCGACGTCCTCTCTTCGAGTGTTCTCTTTCCGTCGGGACCTCCACGATTCGAATACAATCAAACCTCCCGCCACAATGAATAAAAATGTCTCACTGATGAATGTCGCGCCAGACTCGATCGCCTTAGATTCGGAGAGGGGTCGGATGTGGGGTTTCGGGGCAGGTTTCGCGGCCTCCTCGGCGGCCGCTTTGGCTTTTGCGACGGCGTCTTCTTCTGCTTTCGCCTCCGCCTCCGTCTTGACCGTGGGAGATGTAGGCTTGTGCTTCCTGAGGGCGGCTTCGGCAGCTGCTCGCTTTTGAGAGGCGGCGTTATCACGGACAGCACCTAACCGGAGTCGCATATCGAACCGGTGAAGCGCTTGCGCCATGGAGACGCAGACTTTCCGAAAGCGTTCATGCTCGCGGGCCTGAGCTTTAATGTGATTCTACCCGCTGTCAGGATCTGTTATGATGCATAAAGTAAGTGTCAACATACAGCGATTGGTTTTGACAAAGTTCGAATCGCGAGCGAGGAGAGTTTTAATGTGAGGGACATAGTGAAGAGGAGGGAGAAGAAGAGTTACAGGTTAAGGGTAGGGAGTGAGAGAATAAGCGGATAGCATGAAGTCCATGACTCTACAGTTTGAAGAGCTAATCAGGTTAGATGCGTCATCTGTGCACATAAATTATCTTACTGGATAAGGTAGTGATAATCCCGCCCTTGTGCATGCTGATGTCAGCAGAGCCCGTTGTTCTGGCATTCGGATCAATGTTTATCGATTGCCGTTTCGGGCAAACCGTTTGGAGACCAGTCGTAGGATTTCCTCTCGTTGTTCTAAGGTAGTCATCCCTTCGTCTCAACCTATCACCCCCACCCCCCTCGCAGGCTCTCAGTCCGGTTGGAGCGGCGTTGGATGCATATACCTGTTTTGAGCGGCATTGTTTGATTTTGTTTGATTTTTGGTAAGTGTTTTCCCATGTGGTCGGGGGTTTCTTTCTTTCTTTTTACTTTTCGGGCCGATGTTGGCATCGCCGAATCAACTACACAAGCACACGTTTTCAAGGCGCTGCCCCATGGGTGCCGCTGAGATTACCATATCACCATTTGTTATCTTCCTCGAGGTATACTGATGCAGCATAGGCACTATCACGCCACTATACCCCTTCCGCGCTTGATTCTTTATAATTGATGAACGTTACGACTGCCTTGCCTGATTCAACTCGTCTCTCCGCCCCTGCGCAATTGGTCTTGACCACTATTTTATTGATACCCACTGATAGCGAGGCCTAGAAGAGGAGGAATTCAAAGAAGAAAAATGGAGGCATTATCCCCGCGATCAACAAACCAAGTGATCAAGCCGAAGCCCATGGAGCGCAAAGTTTTAGACCGCAACGCTGCAGCTGCAGCTGCAGCTCAGAAAGCTGCATCTTCAAAGAACCATGCGCCGCCGCCGCCGTCATTAGTTGCCGAACCTGAAGAAGATGGGGAGCGATATTCGACCGGGGCATTTCTTGGTAAAGGAGGATTCGCTATCTGCTACGAAGGCACTTTATTACGGAATAACCGCGTCTTTGCTATGAAGGTCGTCCGGTCGGAGATGGCACAGAAAAAAATGCAAGAGAAGGTACCTAGCGCACTCCTGCAGGACCGAAGATTGAGAGTTACTGATGGCACCCATGATAGTTTCGCACCGAGCTTCAAATCCATTCGAAAATGCGACACCCTCATATCGTCACTTTCCACCGCGCTTTTGCTTTTGAGAAATGTATATACGTGATCCTAGAGTTGTGTCCCAATGGATCGGTCATGGATATGGTTAAGAAGAGGAAATCCCTCAGTTTACCGGAGGTGCGGCGCTTCATGATACAATTGTGCGGCGCGGTGAAATATTTGCATAAGCGGAATGTTGCACATCGCGACCTGAAAATGGGCAATCTTTTTCTGGACCAGAATATGGATATTAAAGTCGGAGACTTTGGCCTCGCAGCCATGATAATATCTGAAAAGGATGAGAAGAGACGAAAAACATTATGTGGAACGCCAAATTATATAGCACCCGAAGTTCTCGATAAGAGTAAAGGAGGTCACACACAGAAGGTTGACATCTGGTCATTGGGTGTGATATGGTAAGTGGATATTTTCTTTGACAGCTGGCATGGAGATTCTGAAAAGGGGCTAAACAAGTCTTCTAGCTTTGCAATGCTTACTGGATACCCCCCATTCCAATCAAAGACCCAAGAAGAGATTTATAAGAAAGTCAGAAGTCTCACCTACGTCTGGCCGAAGGACTCAGAATGCTCGAACCATATTCCAGAAGAAGCCAAGTCGCTTGTTAGCTCTTGTCTTAACCTTGCGGAAAATGAACGCCCAGATCCCGATGATATTGTCGAGCACCCTTTCTTCCATATGTACGAGGGTTGCATACCCAAAAGACTGGATCCTGCATGTTGCCTTGCTAAGCCAGTATGGTTGAAACCGGACGAACCTCGGGGAGACCGCATGATGTTTGGGTATAGTTTAGATTACGACGAGAAGCTTGCCAGTTACATAGAATATGTCGATGATACTAACCAGCGGTATCCCATATGCAAGGCAGCCTTCTACAGTCTCTGCGGTGTGGGTCGAAAGCCGGATGGCTCTGCTCGCAAGGCTGCCGGGAAAAACTCTTCCAAATCCGCATTTGCTGAATGTCTAGTGGAGGAGGAGAAAGGCCTCCAGCCAGTGATTCCGTTGCCCGAAGATATTGTTTACAGATATCCTCATGCAGCCGAAGGAGACTGGAGCATCCCTGAAGCGACTCTAGTAAGTCGTAGGGATGGTGCTTCACAAGACACCACTGTGCTCTCGTCTAGAAGCACGTTATCATTGCGAAGCAGTTCGGTGTCGCTCTCACGGACACAAGCAGCACTTGTTGCAGCCCAACAGCGGCGCCAAGCGTCGCAGAGCCATGCTGCAACCCTTCGGCAGCAGGCATCTATTGGTCGGGGCTCACTTCGAAAGATCCCTGCTCTCTGCGACCCACCGGTTTTACCAGCACCAGCTCTTCCCGAGGTGAGAGAGCTAGCCCGGGATGTCCCTCCTGTGCCTAGTGGAGGACTTGCCGAGAGGCCTATTCGCGCGCGACGTGGCGTGTCGGCATCAGGCTCGGGGTCAACGCGTGACTCGGAGCGGAATATCGCGTCGACGGAATCTAAAGCTGGCCACGAAACCGGTGCTTTGACTGTCGGCAAGACCCGTTCGCAGTCCCGGCGTTTGGAAGCAGCGAGCCAGGAATCAGCTGGACTGCCTACTGCCAAAGAACGACTCCCGCCTACAGCTCCCGAGAAGTTGCCGACCCTTTCACGCCAGAGCTCTTTACGTACCCTACCCAAGACCGGATCTAGAGACGTCCTGGATCACAAAGACACCGGCACTCTGACCGCAAAGGATGAATTGGATGCTCAAAGCCGTCGCTTAGCGGCTGAAGCCCAGGCTCAACATGCGGGTCGATCCGGTAGCAAGACATCTCCACCATCTGGAAGTAAACCACGGTCTTCGATTGGGCTGCACCCTCTTTTCCATAAGGATGACTCGTGCGAACTCCTGCCCCGGTCCTCCGTCATTGATGTCAATGCCGACCTGCGGCACATGCTGGCCAACTTGGTCCCCTATTCATCTGCTCGGCGACGGACAGTCTCGAAGCGTGCACCCCATACGTATGTCATTAAATGGGTCGACTATACCAACCGGTACGGAATTGGGTATGTTCTGGACGATGGAAGTGTCGGGTGTGTGTTCAAATCTGGCAACGGCCAGCCAGCGAGTGGCGTCGTGATGCGCGACGGGGAGAAGCACATTCGGCGCAAAGCCCGGCACCAGGAGAAAAAGGAGAACGGGACACACGCCTACTCGGAAGCGGGACAACTTGTCCCTCGCAATGGACGGCTGGTCGAGTTCTACGAGAATTGTGACAATGAGTTGCCTGAGTATCGCGGTAGTATTCGCCGCGCCTTTGTCTCCCCTTCGGTGTTTGAACGGGAGAGTTCATCCAGTTCCTCGTCCGGTCTTGTCTATAAAGCCCGGCTGAATGCTAGTGTTGAATGCGCACGGGCCGACGCTGAAAAGATCAAGCGTGTGAAATTGGCACACCAATTTGGCGAATACATGATCGGATCTCTGGGAAGAAACGAAGCGTATCTCGAGGACCAACTGCCACCGGACCATCACGGCCAATTTGTCAAGTTCTACCAACGGTTTGGCAATGTAGGCGTCTGGGGGTTCGGTGATGGTGCCTTCCAGGTTAGTTTATCCTTTGTTTTTCTTTCTTTCCTTTTCATCGACCATTTCCTGCTGCTAACGTTCCAAACCTGTAGTTTAATTTCCCGGACCATACCAAGGTCGTTATCTCGCCCGGCCGTACCAGAAGCTCGTCACCATGGATTGACTTCTATCATCTCTCCCCGTCTGCTGCTCGTTACTTGAGTTCCAAAGGAAAAATGCACCCATCTGGCTTCGATAGCCGATCGATGGCATCCGACGAGGCGGGTACGTTCCTTAGTATTGCGTACGGCACTGGCACTACCCCTAAGGATGAGCGTCTTCGGGACATCCTGGAAGCGAATGCGTTTTTACCGAAGATCACATTTATGAAGACCGTCCTCAAAGGTTGGATTAAGCTGGGCCGCCTCGGCGAACGACCCTCGGATCAGCAACCTGTATCCGATGGCTTGTTCTGGGAGGGTGCCCAGGAAAGGCCGCAAGCGGGCGGAAGTGGCAGCAGGTTTGTCTGGGTAACTGTAGGAGCACCTGGAGGGGACACCGAATATCGATCCGTTTCTCTGAAGAAGGGCGAGAACGAAGCGGACGGCGAGATAGATGCATTAAGAGAGCGGTTGCGGAGGTTGGGGGTCCCATCGTAGCGATGGGCTCCATTCATGACGACACGACATGGCTTGCAATTTTACGTGGCTGGTTTTCTGTGTTCTCATTGCATATGACATTTTTGTAGAGTTGATTTGCTGTGAACCATTTTGCATGGACTACCCGGGGGGTGTTATAATTATATCGCTGATGTATGATACGCTTTCGCCTTGTTGACTATTATAATTACTTTAATCACCATCCCGGAATGAAAAGCACGATATTGGCCGTCCAGGTCCGGAGTATTGATCCTGCAACTCATCTCCACCCCCGATATATGATCTATATCATTCGTCGACGAGCATCCGAAGTCCTGACGGGCGGGTTCAACTTGTGCACAAGAGAAAGTCAATGTACTGTCCTGAGCAATGAGCAACTTCAACCGATATGACGGCTGGATCGATGGCTTCGCTTCGGCATGAACCAAAATCTTAGTGCTGCCGATCAATGCCCATTGTGATCCGATCGGCCGTGTTCTTCTCAAAGTGCAATTTGACCGTGTGATTATGCTTTGGTTCTGGTTTTTTGGTCCCCTTTTCCTCCAGCAACGTATCTCGTGAGGTTCAGTTGGCTGGCCCATGCATTCAATGTGATAGGCTATATGCATGCCTCACTTGGTTGCTGCTGATAGTATTGGGTCTTATTCACGGCAGCTCATTCCGGCATTAGCTCGAGCTAAGCACATATGAGCTCTGCCATCACGGCCCAATTTCCCAATAGCCATGGCGGATCCACAGAAACTGTCACAAATTCTACCGCCGACAGCGGTCTATGAGTGGCTGTACCATGTAAGACTTAGCTCAATTTCCCGCTTGCTCTCTTTAGCTGTCGGATAGCTTCCTAAAACCTTCTGGATCTGCAGTGATTAGGGTCCAGCCGTGTGGGTATCCCTCCAAAGTTTGGCACGTTCGAGCTTCTCTGCTCCAATGATTGGTTTTAAGCCAGGTTCCTGTTGCTCTGTCACTCGCGGTGACCGTGTCACCTGCAGAAAATTGCGGCCCATTCAAGCAAAATTTGGCTAGCTGAGTCGCACTGATTAGGAGGACCAGGGAGGAAAGCCAGTGAAACAATGGTTATTGTGGCCCATACCCCAGGAGGGTCTGTCCCTGCATTTATAGGGTCTTCCCCCCAGCTTCGCTACCGGCGGCGCTCGTGCTCAATACACCTGCTCACATCGCCATGTCGAACCAACAATACCCACATCGTGATGGCCTCGCAAGACGGCTGCTGTTCGCCTTTATTGGCCATCCAGACCCTGTTCTTCCCACTGCAGTTCATGGTGCACCCCCAATGAACAACCACAGCCAAACAATGGAACTACCACCAGAAGTTCGCGCAAAGCGCCTCACGATTGCGAGAACGGAAGCAAACGCGCTGATCCCACCCAGCGACAAGCTTCTGGTCTTCCGTGCCCTCACAGGCATCGATAGCGTCCCGACATTGAACACCCTCCACCACTACGACCGTACAGCCCCCAACGTCGGCATCTACGCCCGAGTGGTCCAAGCAGAACGATTCACCGCCAAGCGATACCGCTTCTACAGTATCCTCATCAACACGTGTCTGGCGATTCAGATTGTTGTCGCTGCGTCGCTGACGGCCCTCGGCGCTGCTGCTGGCCCGCATTCCGCCGTGACCGCGTTCGGCGCCATCAACACCATCATGGCTGGAATCCTAACCTATCTGAAGGGATCCGGTCTCCCAGATCGACTGAAGCACTACCAGAACGAATGGCGCAATATCCGGGAATACATCGAGCAGCGAGAACGTGAATTCTGCCTGGACGGATGCGAGCTTGACGTCCAGGAGGAGATCCAGTATATCGAGCATCTGTACGAAGGCGTGAAACGGGAGATCGAGGCAATGAAAGGCGGCGGCGAGAGCCGCGCATCGATGCAACATGGACAGTACAATCGAAGATCCTTCTTGCCTTCGCAATCGCGGAGTCAGGACGTTTCGAGCCCAAGCCCTGTGACGATACCGGAACGGTCTTATGAGAAAAATTGATATGCTTTACGCTGTATTGGGTGTGTGTGTGTGCGCGGTGATGTATAGTAATGTCCTATTTTGATTACTACTGTCTGTCCTTCAGCGAAGGTTATGTGTCTTACGTGCCTGTCTCTATATAGCCGGGAATCTAATGAACAACTGCAGTCTGCCTTTATTAACTCGGGCACGCACTGCTTTGGATGTATTTTCATATGAGAGATGACCTCGCCTTACCAACCACCGTTTTTATTCATGCCATAAAACTCGTTTAGATACTTCTAGTCGGCCGTCAAGTGGGCGTGGCGTAATCCTCATCTTCGAGAAGCGAGAATATGCCAACATATATACATGCATCTGCACAGCAAGCAGAATACCACCCTGAGAAGCATGTATACAAACACACTAACACCCTAGTCCAGAAATCCGACGCAAACTAAACCAGGAACAGCATTAACACACTCCCTTAGCACGAGATATTAATCAATCTTGGCACCTCCCAAGAAACAACGCCACCACTCCAAACCCACCTTCCCATCCCAACCCAAACAAACCCAAAATCCCAAATAGAACACGAACAAGAACCAGAAAAGAAAAGAAAAGAGAAGAAATGCCCCTAGAAATCCACCCCGCCACAGCCGCGGACACCCCAACGCTGGCCACCCTCTTTTTCACAACCTTCTCCGACGCCTTCAACACGAAACTCTTCCCGCGCACGCCCGACGTGCACGCCTGGTGGACGCGCGCCCTGGCCAAGGACATCGGGAACCCGCGCAAACAGCTCCTGAAAGTAGTCGACACGGAGGCTGACGCGGCCAAGAACGAGCCTTCGATTGTGGGGTTCGCGCTTTGGTCGCTCCCTGCCCCGGAGACCACGACTGGGGCGGCGGAGATAGAAGAGGAACTGGAGGATGGGTTGAGTCCGCCGTGGCCGGAGAGCTGTGATGGGGCGTTTTGTGAGAGGTTCTTTGGGAGGAATCATGAGCGCCAGGTGGAGGTTATGGGGGATAAGAGGTATTATTGTATGTTCTTCCTCTCTTCTTCTGTTTCTGCTTCTTTGGGGGTGGGAAGGGGGTGTTTTGGGATTTGTGCTGATCTGGTTGCCATGATAGATGTGGATGTTCTAGGGACGCACCCCGCGGCCAGAAGAAGGGGTGTCGCGACGATGCTTATCAACTGGGGATTGGAGAGAGCGAAGGAGGAAGGTCTGGAGGTGTATTTGTCTGCTACGCAGGAGGGAAGATTTGTTTATGAGAAGTTGGGATTTGAGGCTCGGTCGACGGTGGAGGTGGATGGGTATGTACAGGATTCGATGGTTTGGGTTCCTTGATTCTTTTTTCTCCCCTTCCTCTGTGTACAAAAGCTTCCTTGATATATGGGAAGGGGTATACTTGTTCTGAGATCCACAGGAGATGTGTTGATTAATTCAGCTGTGCTAACTATATAATTTTTTGTTTGTATATGTCATGCAAGCAGTACACTATTACGGATATGAACACAAACCAAATGCAACTACAGAGGGAGATAATAACCTCCCCCAACCCTAATTAAATCCCAGAAACAAAGTCCCGAAAGTTCAGTTCAGTTGCGCCGAATAGACCGCGATTAGAAATCAACCCAAGGAACCCAATTTATCTAATCTATTGCAAACCCCACTTTTCACGAAGCGGCGCGTGCGATTCCCTGTCAATTGCGACATAGACTACACTGTTCCATGTCTAGCGCACAATTCTCCCATTATTTTCAGCAGCGCAGGTTATACTATACAGCCGACTAGTTAGCAAAAGGCCACAGACCGACAGAGCATAATGGGCGACGCAACACTACCCAAAGAACATCTACTGATAGCCTTCATGCACGACTTAACGGCGGAGCAGCTGGAGGAGATCCGAGCCAAGTTCCCCGAGCTGGAAGTCTCGAGTGTGACGTTGAAGAGGGGGGAGGATATACCCAGTGGTGAGTTGTATCTTAGACAAATCTCAACCTCAATCTCAATATACCAGGGGCTGATTCTTGTATGTCAACATGCAGAACTAGCCAGAAAGGCCACCTACATTGTTACATTCGCTAATCTCCCGAAACCCGAGGATGCTGAGAAGTACATACAGTAGAACTGTTAAGGGAGTCGATGCGATGAATACTAACACACTACAGTGTTCAATTCATCCACTTCCTCTCCGCCGGCCTGAACCATGTTATCCAACACCCCATCTTCAGAGAAACTGCCATCCCTTTGACAAGCAGCTCCGGGGTGCATGGGCCCCCGATCGCCGAGTGGACGGTCATGAACTGGCTTGTCCACTCACGCCAGTATGCACCCATGTATGAAAAACAGAAGAAACACGAATGGCGCGATAGCAGCAGTGGGTACTTCCAGGGGGTGTATGATCAAGTTGGGAAACGGGTTGGGATATTAGGGTACGGGAGTATTGGACGACAGAGTAAGTTCAATTTCTTTTCTTTCCATGCACACAACAAATACCCTCAACAATACGTACCAAAACGTAAACAAAGACCCAGCTGACAAGAGATAAACCCCAGTCGGCCGAGTATCTAAAGCGCTAGGCATGACCGTTTACGCATACACAGCCTCACCAAGACCTACGCCGTCCTCGCGCCATGACAACGGGTTCATCGTCCCCGGCACGGGCGACAAAGAAGGCACGGTGCCTGTCTCCTGGCATCATGGGACTGACAAAGCTTCCGTCCGTGAATTCCTCGCTCTCGGTCTCGATCATCTGGTTATCTCGCTTCCGCTCACGCCGCAGACGACGCATCTGCTCGGCGCGGAGGAATTTGCGCTCTTGGCGGCTAGTCAGGGATCGAAGGGGCCGAAGCCGTATTTGACGAATATCTCCCGCGGAAAGGTTCTCGACCAGGATGCGCTGATTGCGGCGTTGAAATCGGGCGAATTGAGTGGTGCTGCGTTGGATGTGACGGATCCTGAACCCCTGCCGGCGGAGCATCCGTTGTGGGATGTTCCTAATGTGCAGATTAGTCCGCATGTGAGCTCTCTGGGAGTGGAGTACTTTTCTAGGTCGTTGGATATTGCAAAGGAGAATGTGGGGAGGATAAAGAGGGGGGAGGATTTGTTGAATGCATATAAAAGGGGGAAGGGGTATTGATTTTTCTTTGCATGTATGTTAGGATGGCTATGCTGTGGCTTTGGTGACGCTGCTCCCTCATTTAAGTCATGAGCGCTTTGGGTTAAGCACGCGACACTGTATGTAGGGAATGAATTCTTAACGGTATACATTATAGTATATTCTGAAATAGTACGTCGGGACCAGATGATTTTACACTGATATCACTGCAAGGCCCACCCCCGAATAGCCTCTTCTAAAACAACACCAACCAACCCACTGCCGACAACAGCCCATGCCCACGGGTTCGCCAATTCAGAGAGGCTAGGACAGAAGCTGTTCTTCTCGTAACGCCATGTCTGCAGCTGCTGATATTTGTGCGGGTCTTGCTCCTTGTACCGGGCCTCCTGGCTAGCTTCGTTTTGCTTGTCACCGCCCACGAAGCGGAGGTAGGCGTAGTTTGCGACAGGACCAAGGAGGACAAGGGGGTTGAAAGTGTTGGCGGCGTTAAGGATGACGAAGGAGATGTGCACCAATGCGTCACCCAAGTAGCTATGGTCACATTAGCATTAATCTCTCACGCTACGGCACGAATAGAGCTTGTAGATGTGACTGACTTCGGATGACGGACGATACTCCAGACACCGTGACGGCACAGATCAGTCCGTTCCTGGCGATGCAGTTCTAGCTGGCAGTCGGCCATGGCTTCCATAGCGAAACCAGCGCTGAAGAGAGCCACACCAAGACCGCGAATGGTTGCGGCAGTGTCAGTGCTTAAATTCAGAGACGACCCAGTCAACCGGAAAGGTAGAGTGAATGGAAGGGTGATAAGGGTTAAGAACACAGCCTCGGGAAGAAACTGTTTGAAGAAAGCGGATTTCCAGAACTCAGGATCCTTCGACTTCATCTCATCGTATCTTGGATCGTCTTTGCCACGGGTAATGGTTCTCTTCGAGATGCGATAGAACAGACGCGTACCCCAGATCGTCACGCAGCTGAGTAGCACTTTCTCAGTCCAGGGAAGAGCTTTCCAGGTGGTTGAAAAGGAAACGTTCTCGTAGAAAATCTGACGGCCAACGGCGCTCCACCAGGCGTTGATTACTTGACTTGATGGCCAGCACCAATCCTTGATCTCGCCCTTGTCGGTAGTTTTCGCTGCGATAAAAGAGGCAATTGAGAGTCCGGTATGCAAGGTGAATGAGGGGAGAATGGTCGATTTGAAGATGCCGATATCGCCGGCCGTTAAGCCCAGCTTGGGCTTTTGCCCGGCAAATTGGTCAATTGTTCGGTCGATGTCGACCACAGGCTTCTTGGAGCCATAAATATCCATGTTAGCGATTTGGACGCAATTGAGCCCCCGGAAGAGGATGGTCCATGATTGGTTTTATAGCTGCTGTGTAGGGGTTGATGTCATAATTTTGTAACTATTTAGTGACGTTCGGATTCCCGAATATGGCAACCTGCCCGCGCGATGGTCTTGAATTGAGGCCAGATGGTATTCTTGCTTTAATGTGATCCACTCTCTGGGAATATCCGAGAATTCATGATAAGGTAAACGGGAAACAGAATACTGTGTATGTATGCATCGTCGCCCCGCTTTGAATTGCCTTGCCAAGGGGCTAGGCCGTTGTCAAGTTGTGCTACTTGCATGCATAGACATATAAGATGTATTATTTCTGACCATTATTCGTCTCGGTCAGGGCAGAAAAGTCAAACCGAGGTGTAATTTCTTCAGATCCCTCTTTTGCCTTGTACTTGCTTTTGAGCAGGGCGGACAATCTAGACGCCCATAATGTAACAAGATCAGACTGTAGATCACAAGCGGAAAATGCTTCAAACTGCTCTCCACATTGGGTATATAAATCGCTCTGACATACTTCCTCTGATAAGGCTGAAAGGGCCGGAAGCGTAGCAGATAGATTGATGCCTATATCGTGCAATTCATGGCCTTCTGGTATTCGTTCGAATGGTAATTTGTTCGTGTTAATACGCCGAACCTTATCATCTCTTGATAGTTCATCCTGTCGGCTTGTGTCCTGGTGTCGTATAAGGTATGATCTTGGGTCATGGGGGTTTAAGCCACTTTTTGTCGTAACCTCTGCTGAAGTTGATAAACTCAACTTATGAACGGATTGGTTGGATTCGGGACGCAGAGCAGCACGCGCAGCAAGGTACCTGCTCAAGTGCGGCGAGTTGGTCGAAGCAGGTAGTTGTGAACGACCTTTAATCTCTCGTCGTCTTTGGATAGCTTCTTTTTTTCGATGTTCGAAATCTAGAGCGGTCTCCAAATCAGATTTTGGGCTGTCCTTAGCCAGGTTATGTAGCCTGGAAGACCACTGCTCAAGAACCGGAAACTCTTGACGCTTTTCTCTTACTTCCGAAGCTGGGCCCTGTGATGATACTCTAGAAGTAGGATTTTGTGACTGAATACTTGAAAGAGCGGGACTCGCGGGTGTACTGTTCCCGGAGCCTCTCCGAATGGATATTGTGCGGCTTGCGATTTCGCACAACTCGGGCGAAGACTGCTCCTGCGAGCGAAAGCGTTCATGTGCTAGTTGGCTCAGCGGGGGTTCTTCCTGATCGTCGCCCGACGGCTCCTCCGTCGCTATCCGGGCGAGTGCCATTTGAGTAGTCTTCCCGAACCAAGTGTCCAGAGCTCCGTTACCATACATTTCCCTGGCCCGTTGCCTTGAAGCCCTTGCGGCTTCATTACAACCACTGCTTGTGGATGATGCCTGGGTAGTCTGAAAGGATCGTGAATCCGACGGAGGGCTCGACGCTGACGCAGTTGATGCGGTTGGACTGGGTAGAAAGGACCCTGCCGAGTCCCGTCGCGGCGTTTCCTCTGAGCTTCTGCGTCTTTCTTCGGATGTGTGCATGCTGTCATTCACGGGCGGCCGATGGGCTGTTGTCTTTCGGATCTGGTTTTCACCGGATCTGTGAAACGGAATGTTGCACCTTGTTATAGACCAAGGGTTCAAGAACTCGCGATCCCTAGACTTTCTGCGGCGCTCAGCAACTGACACATTACTTCTCTGAGAAGAGGCTGAGCACTGGCCATTCGTAACGTGCAAGGAAGGCGAAGGTTCCACTGACTGAGCAAAAGAGCGAGCCGTACAAAATCCCGAGTTGGCAACCACAGATGGCAAGCCTTCGGATGGGCTTCTTCGAGCTAAAAGGAGGTCAAATGTATCTTTATCTGACAAAGCGACCTTCCCTTTTGCTGAGTTCGGTCGCTTCTTGTGATGAGGCTCCCCTTCGCCGTACATACTCCGAAAGAGGTCCCTCACAAGCGAAAGTAGTCTTTCGGAATCTTCAAACAGAACATCATCTTTTGCCGGCTCTATATTGACGTCATAACTTGCTTGAGGGCATTGGATATGCAAACAGAGGAACGGATCCGTTACGGACAGACTGCCATCACTGCGGGAAAGGGCCGAACGAAGATACGACTTGTATAATTTCGATATATCTTGCCCTATGCCTCGGGAGCTGGATATGGGCCTGCCATCGATGGTTAGGTACTGGCCAGCGTTGCTCAATTTTGCGCAATCTGCTATGGTTAGCCATGCTCTCTAGAGATAAGAGGGAGGGCAACACAAGATACCGGTCTCTATATCCAGCAATAAGGCGAGAAGCCTAAACTCGGACGTATGCTCCTCTTGGTGTGGCTCGGAGTTTACATTCTCTTCAGAAGGCCATTTCTTCAAGACGCAACTGGAAGTGACATCTGTGCCGGCAACTTTTAATGCTGCGTCTGTGATTGTTGTATCGCGCCCAGGGGCGTAGATCCAATTATTGCTTTCGTTCTTAGCCTTGAGAACCTTGAATGAAAGCCTCTTTGAGGGTTGCGCCATAGCATATATCTGGATAAGCTTTTTGATTCGCGGTAGAGTTTTCATGGCGCTTTTCAAAGTGGATTGTCTCCGAACAGGTATGTGCTTGAAAAGATCAGTTATACGGACTGTCGTGCCCACAGGGTGCGAAGCGCGCTGAGAGCTTCATATATGAGAGATTAGCCTCAGGACCATAATTATCCGAAGAGCATAGGTACCTGATAAGCTCTCCATTTCTTCCATATTTGATGGATGTGCCGACCATCTCTGCCTCAACTCGAGTGGTGATAGTCACGCCACCGGACACTTCAGCAGCGCTGGCAAGAGCTTCCCCTCTAAATCCTAAAGACTTCCCTCCAAGGGTCCGAAGATCTTCAACGGTCTGAATCTTGCTAGTAAACGTGCGCCTGCAAACGCAAGCATGGTCATCCGAAGGGATTCCATGTCCGTTATCTTTTACTTGTATCACATCAATTGCATTCGCAGATATCTCAATGCCTATAGAAGTCGCAGAAGCATCTAATGCATTGTCTAGCAGCTCTTTCACAACAGAGCATGGGTCCGATATCACAGATGTTGAGCCAATCGCCCGGACAGTGGTCGGTGGAAGAGCCGTGATCGGCATCTTTAGAGGTTATATTCATGCAAACGAGAGACCATTGCTGTTATAGATCTGAAAGGAGAAGATGTTTAATAGATATACGACAGGAATTATAGTATGTAAATGGAATAATTGACTGGCATGTTGGTGAGGATGATTGATTCTCATGGCAGGAAGGGAAGCCAATGAAGGATACTAACAACCGAGTATTTCCACGCACATGATTGGCACATGCCACGTGAGCAGATATTAGTCAGCGAATTCTGGGCCATTCCTTCCGAACATTATTGTGGAAACATATCAACCATGTTTCAACGTCAATGATACACAGGATCTCACGCCAGATAATGACTTGACAGCAGGATGCTTTGCTCCTCGTTCCATATATCGCGACTCGCGATTCCAACGGTCTGCGTGTTGATCAGCTTCCTCGCATATACGTCGCAGTATTTCTTCAAGCATTTCGAGCCAGCACCGCTCAGGGAGCACGAAGTATGGCGCATTAATATTTTCGCCCTGTGTATCTGGATATGCTACTATCGATCCTGCACTGTAGACCCGGGACATGTTCCTAGACACTGGAGGCCTCTAGATGGCAAGCAACTGGATGTCGACTGTGCTAGTGGCCGACAACGATGGTGCCGTAGATGTGAAGCCTTCAAACCTCCACGAGCACATCATTGCAAGACATGTCAGAGGTGGGCGATACTCGGAATATACTCTGGGATACAGTAACGAACTGATGTCGTGTCATAGATGTATTCCCAAAATGGACCATCACTGCCCGTGGACGGCAAACTGTGTTTCGCATTTCACATTCCCTCACTTCGTTCGGTTCCTATTCTACGCAGTCGTGGGTATGAGTTATCTCGAAACCCTCTTATTTGAAAGAGCCTCGATTGTGTGGGCGTCTCGGAACCTTCCCAGCGTAAGAGGATCACTCAGATTATCCGCCTTGCGCTGACATTCGTCTCTCTTAGTACTTGGGTCCAAGCGTAGTGCAGCTAGGCCATCTGTTTGTTCTCTTTGTCGTAAATAGCCTGACTGTTTTTATGCTGTTTATACTTCTTGTGCGGACCCTCTGGTCGCTTGGTGCGAATACCACCACCATCGAGACATGGGAAATTGAGAGACACGAAACACTGCTGCGACGAGCCCGCCATTATGGTGGGTATTTGGACGGCCCTGGTGGGGTTCGTGTGCGCATCAAGAAGCAAGAATTTCCTTACGACATTGGAATATGGTCGAATATTCGAGAAGGAATGGGTGGGAGTTCAAATGTTAGTCACCTTGTCCTGAGCTTACCGTCGCTGACTGGTTGATGTTAGGTCTTGAGCTGGTTCTGGCCACTTGCGAGAACACCAGACCGTAGCACAGGGCTGGAGTATGAGGTCAATGGGTTTGAAGGTTAGTACTCACGAAAGCCGGGTCACCCTTGACTCAAATTGGCCGATAAGTGAGGGCTAAACGGTGCTAGATCCCCATGTCTCCTGGCCGCCACCGGATCCAGATCGGATTCCTCTGCCACCCAAAGATGTCAGTGATAGTATTGCCTTCACTGGCGCTGAAACCTCCGGCTTCGATGTTCAGGCATTTAATCAAAGAAAGGCAGAGGACCTTAGACGTCAAAGAGCCGGCCTAGAAGTCGAGCGCCGTAAACGCTTCCATAAACGGCTGGCGGAAGATTCAGAGGATGAATCAGAACAATCCGATGGTCCCGATGAAAAAGGGTCCGACTATGGTGAAGAAGGTTGGAGAAACTCAGAAGGTGAACGGCTACGTGATTTCGGCGTCGACGAAGATATTGAATTCTATGACGAAGAAGATCTCCCTCTGGGCGTGTTGATCCAAAGAAGAGCCCAGGCTGCCCTCAAGGAGCTGAAATGAGAGGAAAAAGGCTTAACATCCATCAGCATTCTGAATAGTTATCATTTGCGATCCTGAGCGGATACATTATTTAGCATAGCATAAGCAACAATAACAACAATATATTAGTCTTTGTTATTCACTTCACCGGTGAGAGAGTATCGGCAGTAAGTTAATATGAAGATATCACGAAAAGCGAGGCACCCACCCAGACGATATATGTGACAGGTATACCATTACCAGCCATCATACTTCCCCAAACCGATCACTGATTTCAGGCGATGGAAGCAAAGTCAACCCCCCCAGACGAGCCACAACTTCCACGGGTAGTACCCATACGTATCAAAGCAGGATGCGGGACAGAACGCGGGCTCGCCGCCAACTCAGGATCCGAGTAATAAGCACTGTGAGCACGCTCCAGATGATGAGCCGAAGGCGCCGGACCGTGAGACCGACGCTGACTTTGCATCCAGCCTCGGCCCATGATAGCCACATCCGACATATGCATCGAAGAGTAAAGCGCCGCCCGGTACTTCTTATTCTCGTTCCCCGACCCACCACCCTGATCCGACCCCGCCTGCCCCTCGCGCGAGGTAGAAGGCGACTTCTGCGAGCCCTTCCCACGCGCCCGTTTCAGCTGCACAATGGCGGTGTAGATCACCGGCGCAGCGGCGCAGACATGCGCCATGGCTGCCTCGACGCAGCTAAGCAGGAAAGCTGGAGCTTGGGAGTACGGTGGGTCATAGTATGTCCCCATTTCGCCGAGCGCAGGCATGCGTGCGGATGCTATTGCGATTACTCTGTTCGTGGTTAATAACTTGTGTAGGCTTTATTCGCCGGGGGGGAGGGTTGTACATCACACCGACGCTGAAGACGGAGATAAGCGCGATCTTCTTTCTCCGGGAGACGTGGAGGGTCCGCAGGACTGGGAGCGGGAGGATGAGGATTAGGACTTCGGTGATGATGTTCAGGGTGGCGTTCGCGTAGGCTACGGCTGCTATCTTTAGACAGCGGGCGTTGTCAATGTCGTAGTCCCATGCGGCTTGGAAGGGTTTGCATTGCCAGATTGCCATGGGCGTGGTGACTAAGAAGGAGATGACTAGGAAAGCGATGCAGAGGAAGTCGACTCTCCTGAATAGGACGATTGGGAATATGCGGAGGTAGAGGAGTAGGATGGACATTTTGACGAAGAAGATGGTGAAGGGCCAGAAGATCTGGCACATGTACCCTGAGAAAACCCCCTTGGTTAGTGTGTAGTGTGATTAGGAAGCTGTGGCACTTACACCAGAAGAAGAGGTTGGTTATCTGGGTGACGGATTCGACTTTGATATCATAGAGGTGGAGTCCGAACCCTTTACTGACACCTTACGATAGCCTATCAGCCTTGTTGACACGAATGGACGACATGGTGGAAGAGATCGGACTTACAGATATTTCCGAAAATGCTCAGGGGTATCGCGAAGACCTTGAGAGTTATTAGATGATGCCAATCCTGGAGGCGTTTTGGAGTAGGGCCACAGATATCGAACGTACCCCGGCGAGTATATGCATGAAGTCATCCCACCATAGCTGATGGACTGTCCACAGTCTGGACAAAACGCGTAGGATTATGACTGTAAATGCGATTGTCGGTGTAGTAATAGCTAGCGCGATGATTAATTTATGATAGTTTTTACTGGATCGGTTGCATTGCGCAGCATCCCCTCGCACCAGTTCTATGAAGGTCAGGTTAGTTATGGTATGCTCGGACGCTTTCGAACAACTGCAAATAGATTGGTATACCTACGCATCAGGTCTTCTAATTTACAGGTTTTCACTGCACAGGACGAGGCGTGCTTGATGAATTCTTTATCTTCACATTGACATTCGATGTCAGAAAGTTCGCAGTGGGAAACAGGGACGGCGCGTTGTAGACATTCCAGCTATACAAGTTGGGTCAATTATGGAGGAAAGACGGAAAAGATTGTGAGAGGCACATACTGCACAGGATGATAATTGTTCTGGTCGGTAACTCCCATTTGTACGCTCAGCGACGATGCTTGTGAGACTTAGTAACCACCACAAGATGAAGCCAACAACGCCAGCAGTAGAGGGTCTCATGTTATAATTTCACACACAACGAAGACTCCATACAATGAACGGCATCATTACAATTTGGGAAAGACTGGCAACGGGGAATGAAAATGAAAGGAGGAAAGAAATGAATGAGTGGATGCTAAGACAGATTGCGCTACTGAGGATGAGGATCAATAGCTGATATAGGGCAAGGTACTACAGGAGAGTGCCCTTTGAGGCACCCTTGGCAGAATCAACGTCATATTACCTATGAGGTAGCCCGACCGAGAGTCAATTTCCTCCTTCGAATCAGGGACTCAGCGCCCAGAATCCCGACTTGTACCGTGTGGAAGACGTATGAGATCATGCCTACACAAATGGTGTATCATGATTCGATACCAGGTTGCCATAACAAGAAGCTGGGATATTTGCTTCCCGTTCACAAGTTCACACTCTGACAAATCATGAGTATTGCACACGGTCATAACCTTATTAGCCACTGACTATTGTTCTGATGGGACGGAATATCTTTTTCAATGATCCTGCGGGCTGTTGGAACATATGACTGTTAGAGTTGAGCCACACGGTCATTGCCGGTCGGCAGGGTTGGCTGTTCCCCTGAGACAGTGCACTGTCCAGGTCATGGTATTAGCTATTTCCTATTACTGTTCTTTGACCTGAGAGCATCTAGATGGCTAACTTGTCAGGGCCACGTGGGCGCAGCTCAGAGACAAGGTCCGGCAGTGCCTCATTCATATTGATGTAATCCAATGACCCACGCCTGCCCCAAATAGATGTGATGGCCCAAAATACGACTCCGCGGCTCAGTGACTGTGCTTCAGGCCAGGAATTGGTGAAAAGGTTATCGATCCATTGTAATGTGGTAAGATATTTGGAGGTCTCCACCCTTGAGCACCGTCCAAGCAATGGAGGTTCCTTTCCCTGAGATGTGTACTTACACAATACCATCTGAATCTAACATGCGATGGCGTGATGCAAAATTGTACAGGCTATCCCAGTCTCGACACTGATGCGTATTCTTCCACCCGTCGACAGCCCGGTTCCCGTCTCCCCCTAACACCCCTGAGCCCTCAAGCGTCGCATCACTCGCACACATTATGGACTGTTTGAAATGTTATTAGTATATATGGCCCGTGGATGAATGGCTTTCGGGGATCGAACCTGTCGAAGATAATCGATGCAGTGCTTAGTATGATCACTATGATCGTCCCTGTGATTATGATCTGAATGGTTCTTTGAATACAGGGCATTGAAAATGATGGCCTGCTGAGTTTATGTGAGTGCAATGGTCTATCGTATGCAGTACAATGGATCAGATCTTACAAGGCAGTGCATCTGGTGGAAAGCTGAGATACAGTAGTATTCTTTGGATTGATCTTCGTTAGAGGACACCGAAGAGTGCTCTTCGAAGGCTAAAGATCCCGAATTTGTCCGCTTTGCAGTAACAAACCCCCTCCCAGCTGTTGATATGTGAGCAATGATATACAGACAAACAGTTCTGCGATTACGACTCACGAGGTATTAAGTTATCCCATACCGACCCCGGCTCATCTGGAAGCTGTTCTGTGTACTCGTTGTGTGGAAGAAATGTCACTGCTCGATGAGGTACTTCCCGATGTTAGTCCCAGCTTGAAGGCATCGTTGAAGATGGGGACTGACCCTTGATATGTGAAGATTCAGGTACATAACTAGCCCCACAGGCTGAATTAATTTGATAGTATAATGCCGCACCTAGACCGGTGCATAGAAGAAATAATGAAGTCGTAAGAGTTAGAATTCCCTTATTGGTATAGACTGGATTCCTCTGGGCCTGTGTGGGCAGAGCATCGGAGGATGTATTGTCGTCCTCGGTACTGAGAGGCGTATATGGGTTTTTATAATAGCTTTGCATGATTTTATTATACTAGAATCGATTAGAGTCGACAGGATGATGAACTTGCGGAAAAATGCCTGTGGAGAAACAACACTTTTATGTCGCCAATACACAGCAGACGGGTTCAGGCTTAGCTCCACAAGGATATACAACTACAATCTAGATCCTGTCTTGTGGATCGCATTGGTGGCTATGATGCCGTTAAGGTTCGAGCGGTTAAAAGATGTTTCTTTGTTTGCTGACACGAATCCCACGGCTTCGAGGTCTTGGCTGATCCCCGTAACACTTTATTTCTGGCAATAACTGAATAGGACCCGATTTATTGAGGGCTCCCTTGGGTAATTCTGACGCCGTGTAGTATCATAGTGTATAAATATTCGTTTATACCGGTTTGATCAACCACCGTATGCCTTCTTCAGCTCTCCTACTAGCATATACCTTACCCCTTGCTTATCATACTATACTGCGGACACTAAGTACTGTGAGTAGATGGAGATTAACAGGTTACTCCCTAGTAATGGAGGTTATGAAGCTAATATCTTTTTCGACTCAGAGTATTAGCGGCCCTTAGTCGTGCTCTATAATAGAGTGACTCACTGTCGAAGATGATGGCGATAGCGCATCCTTGTTCTTTATTTTAGGGCTACTTGATAACGGACTCTAGTATCCGCTTGGTGAAAGAAATGCCCCTATTTAGAGTCTTACTCAGTATGCATTGTTAGGCTATGAAAATCACTATCCCGTATGGCCATGCTTGCGAATATGTGGTTTGCTGGTTAAGCTCAGCACTGTCAAATGAATAGATTCGGGAGATATGGATGGTCATTTATAACTACTCTTCTGTCTAATAGCTAAATCAACACTAGGACGCCGTTTTAGTTATCTATTGGACGAATACCACACAACCTCGTATTTCCCCTCCCGCGTCAGACCCTGAATGTAACCCATGTCTTGACAAAACAGTTGACTCATACTCTGAATTGCGCATCACATAGATAAGACCTTCTCACTTCATATCGTATACCCTTCTCGCCCACTTAGACCATCATTATCTCAAGTAGAAGACTTTACGATGTCTCCCCCTCCAGCACCCACGACACCCCAAAACAGCAACGTCGCACGTATTCCCAAAGAATACGCCCACCAGACAGACCTAGAAGACATAATCGCGCGATACAGAGCCCTTCGCTTAAAAGGACTGAAGGAGAATCCAGAAGCCTTCTCTTCCAAGTACGAAGACGAAGTTGAGTTTCCATACGAGAAATGGCTAGCTCGAGTTACCAACCCGCAAGCGCGTTCCTTTATCGCTTATGACAGCCAAGAGGACAACAACGTGGATTCTTTGGCGCTTCTTTTGAGTCGAGAATGGTTGGGCACCGTCACAATAGTAGGGCCTAGGTTGCTGCCTGAAGACAACGAGGTCCTCTCAAAGACACCTTGGGATGTGTTTCTTCTGCCAGATGAGCGAGTTCTGTCTGAAGGGGAGTCGCATAACGGGATATTGGTGTATATGCTTGGTGGCATGTTTGTTCTCGAGACGGGAAGACGAAAGGGGCACGGTCGACGGCTGATTGAACGGGCTGTGAGTGAGGTACGGACGGCAGCTACTGAAGCAGGGGCAAGTCGACTCTTAGTGGTGTCTATCGTGGAACGAAATAATGACGCTGCACGACGGTTGTATGAAAGCTGTTCGTTTGATGTGTGGGACGGTGAACTTGTATCGCAAATCTCACGGCACCAGGAGTGTGTTGCCATGGTCTTGGATATTAGGCTGGAGTCAGGGTTGGTTGATAGTGCAGAGCGATGAATAGACAAGATGTGTTGTATGATATGCATTCATGGGGTATATATCTGCTATCGTGTGTTCTGAATCCGGAAATCTATGTAAAGATGAGTAGCACTACCATCGCAATAGGTATAGCAACGAGGACAACAGTAACGATTGACGCGCCGACAACATCGCCTGTTGTAACTTTTGTTGTTGTAGAAGAGCTACCTTCATCATCACTTTCCCCAGCCGTAGGGTCGCTCGTGCTATTTCCCCCGGTTGTCGACGTGACGGGCGCTCCTGAGGTATTCAGCCCGACCATATTTGCTGCCAAGATACTCGTAACGCTCATCTGCTCTTCCAGTCCATTCCAACCGTCCCAAGTCGAGTTATACCATACGACACCGCAACTGTTGTTGTTGTATCCAGTGCAGGTTTCAGCAGCCGCCACACCAGAACCTTGGAGTTTGGGAATAATCGTGCTGTATGTCGATGGCACTAGTAGAGCTGTAAAGGCCAGCCACATGGAAAGTAGCCCCTTAAAAATAATCTCGTTGTTGTTGCAGACTTGGGTAGTTTCGCAAGTGTAGTCGGACATGATGTTGCCGCCGTATTTAGTCGGGAAAAATCCGTCGATAGTTGCATTGAGTAGGCCATTCACGGCATTAAGCCATGTAGTGCTGCCGTTCGTCTAAGTAATGATGCGCGGTCAGTAATCGCCTACACTAAATCCAAAGATTGCCAGGTATCTCCAACAAGGCGGAGGGTATCAAACTCACATAATTATACATGTATGCGGCACCGCCAATGAAAGAACCATAATTATAGGTCCACTGCGTGTTACCTTGTGATGTACAATTATCATCCACATCGGTTGAATCGGCGACATTCCAAGTGTTGGTGTTCAATAAAGGAGTCGAGGCCGACCAGTCCCAGATCTTTTCAGCCCAATCGGCGTACGTCTGGTTATTGGTATAGCGAGCGAGGCGCGCAGCCAGTTGAAATAGACCACCGTTCGAGATAGAATTTTTCATACGATACCCGGCTTCGTAGGTGTAAATCTGCCAACGCATTCCTCCGGCGCATGATGAGGTATCCCACCGCTTGACCTGTGTGTTGAACACTCCTTGGGCAAGAGAAAGCCACGAGTATCCATCACTCACTTCGGGGAACTGCAGCTCGGCAGCTGTTATCGCGGCCAGCCCCCAGAACATTTGATCATCGTTTCCCTACTCATAATTAGGCCTTTCAGACAAATACTGTAGCGCAGACGATTATTCTCACGAGATAGGAACTCCAGTTTGAAGGCATATAGTCTCCGTCTCCTGCTTGCCATTGCATTCCCACGCTCACTTCGTCATTGTATGTCGTGTCGCCCGTGAAGTGCCAGTACTCGATAAGGGTCATAAACATGGCACCACCTTCCCACCAGGTGTCGGGTAGTTTTCCAGGGATATTGCCGGACTCGTTTCCGTGATAGTAGTGCATCATTCCATAGGCCGCTGTGCTGGCCGCATCTTTGATGGATTCTGTAATCGCAGCCGCCTGAAATGAGCACAACTACATGAATATAGGAGAGAATTGTCAATGAACATACGCTCAGAGCTGACATCCACAGAAAAAGCCTTCACTGTGCGCAGTAACTGAATCCCCAAGTATATCAACGCCGCTCCATTCAACCATTTCACTCCGTGAACCATTATGTCTGAATTCTGTTGCCATATACTATTTGTTGCAGGAATCCGGAGCTGAGAATCTATGGCTTGAGTACAAAATCACGAATCTAAAATATTTCTGAAAAAGAAATGTCCGAGGATTGGAGATAATATCGCATAAGGAATCCATCTTCTTTTCATTAAGGTTCAAAATTTAGTCGCCTGGAGGGAAATGAGATGGTGGAGTTCCTCCCTTCTACCAATAACTCTGCTGTTTTGAGGGCTTCTGTAGTCTACGTCAGCAGTTAAGCAATCTGAAGCTTTAGTGGAAGCGTCTTGGCTTCTTCTACTGCCCGGCATTTGGTCGGCGGCTATGAGTGGAGCGGCATTCATACGTCCTTCGAGAAGGTGGATCGCCGGTTCTTCTTGGCACAGCTTTATGTACGGTGCAACAATTCACATTATGAATTGTCTGACGTAGACTCTTCAGGTTAATGCTCGATCTTATTCGTGAGACGTTCTGTTGACACGACGCAGTCATTCTAATCCCAATAGATCTGGGAGCTAACTGGAGAGAGTCCGTGGTGGCTGGAAGACTACTTGTTCACTATGAAAACTGTCCCCGTTACTTGGACTGTCCCTCTCTTTGTATTTTTATTTTTCTTTCATGGTCTCAAGAGGGTGCACTAATCCAGGAAAGCACCGCCAAAACCCCATTTCGCATGTACATGAAGAAATGCAGAGTATAGTACCTACTGCCTATGCATCAATGAGGAGAGCTGAAGCTCCTGAAGGAAAACATTCAGGGCCCCTGACGCTGAATGTACACTTCTGTCAAATTTCGTGACTGTCGGACTTACGGTATTGAGTTGAACCGGGATCATTGGAGGGAGAGGCACTGCAGCGAAGCTCTCCAACTCATGAGCCCTACGGCAAAAGCCGTAAAATATCTTCTTGGACTATGACAAGTCTCAGCTATTTTTGAATCTGTTGAATCTATCGTATGTTCCAAATAAAAGTTTTACTTTGGATCATTGTCCCAATTATTAGCCACCTTCTTTGTTTTCCCTTGCAAGAGACCACACTAAAATAGAAGCTTTTCAGAGTACTGGCGTAGACACACTGGCTTCATTAGCGCTGCCAAAAATACTAGTCCTCCTATACTGAGTAAACCAAGTGGGGGAGTCGCGATTCGTCTCCCAAGGTAAATAATCCGAGAACGCCGAGAGCTTCGGGTTATGGGGGAATTTTTTTTTTTTTTTTTTTTTTTTTTTTTTTTTTTTTT